TTTTTTCTATTTTTCACCTATTTTGCCTCTACACCACTTGCATAGTAGATAGTGCTTCTTAACAGTTCTTAACTTGGGGTTAACAGTTTAAGGCTGTAGAAACCTAGTTCAATGGGTTTACCCATATCAGTGTTATGTTTTGGCCTAGCCTGGCTTGCTGGCTGCCTGCTAGGGCTGTCAAAAAAGCTCGAGGCTCGCGGGCAGCTCGAGCTTGGCTCGTCCTAGGCTCGATTCGAGCTCGGCTCGAGCTTCAAACGAGCCGAACCCGAGCCTGAGCAAAAGCTCGCGAGCTTTACCGAGCCGAGCTCGAGCTTTTGCTGAGGCTGGCCGAGCTTGACTATTTATAGTTCATATTGCACGTTCACCTTATTAATATAATAAACTAATAGGTAAATATATATATTAGTATCTATTTGCACAATAAATTAGCATGTGTTAGCATAATATATTTATTTTAATCATTTTCTACTCTTTTATTAGTGTGATTAACTAGAAAATAATTATACTTATCAAAAGATTATCATTAAAATATATATTATACTACTTATGACCGAGCTCGGTAGCCGAGCTCGAGCTCGAACCGAGCTTGCCTAAAAGCTCGAAGGTAGAATAGGCTCGACTCGAGCTCGGCTCGAGCTTGTGTCGAGCTCGAGCTTGGGCAGACGAGCTCGCTCGAGCTCGGCTCGTTGACAGCCCTACTGCCTGCCTATGTGAATTTCCATTGCATGCATGGTGGTTTAGCGAACTGATATGGTCAAGGCTGAGATTGTTTAGCCATACTAGCAGCATACAAGGCAAATTTTTTCTGTCCAAATAATGAAATGAGTTTACTTGGTAGGATGGGTGAGTTTCGTGGCACAGGCAATGAAGATGATGCTAAATGTGGCACAGGCAATGAAGATGATGCTAAATGTGGCAAGGATTGTTCAACTGATTCGTACATGGACAATTCGTCCAATACAAATGATGATGACTATGCTGAATGTTCCTTGGTTAGTTCACTATCTGCACATGTCCATAGAGTGCTTATCATTTATTTGTTGGATTTATGCAATTATTTATACATGTTGTAATTTAGTTTTTTATCACGTTAGCTCATAGTATTGGGGTTAAATACTTTTTTTATAATAGGGAGACCACAATAAATCTAAGCCTAATGATCCTAGTAGCAGTCACAATGTGTTCCACAGCGTTGAGGAAGATAATGTAGCTCTAGATGAGTACTGGAATATAGTTCAAATGAATTTTCAGACTGAAGATGAATGTTACAACTTCTACAATAGTTATGCTAAAAGGAAAGGTTTTAGTGTGAGGAAGGATATTGTGAGGCGTGAAAAAAGAGTTGGAGCTATCGAATACAGGCGTTTTGTTTGCTCTAAGGAGGGGATTCGAGATCCTAGTTTGGTAAAACCTGAGGATCGTGTAAGAAGGGAAAGAGCGTTGACTCGAATGGAATGCCCTGCTATTGTGCTGTGTTGTCTGAATAAATGGTTTGATACTGAAAGGAGTTTGCTTTGCAGGAGGACTTTGAGTATGGGGTGTACGATGACCAGACGTATCATAAAACCCAAGGTTCCATTTTTTGAACTATCTTGCCAGTTATCCTTTTGTTTAATTGAAATGCATAATCATGTTCATTTGTGCTAATTTTTCATTCTTATGTAGTAATATGGTGGAACAAATTATCCAACTGGAGATAAGAAGGTCTTCTGGGAGGATGTCTCTGAATGGTATCAAGAAACTGAACCTCCTCAGGGCTTCCAAGGTAGTAGACATTGGAACTCCTCAAAAAAAGATTACTCTCTTTGTTCTGAAACTCCTGATGCTGCAAAGGCATTGTGCCATTCATTTACAAATGCGAATTCCTAAACATTACTGCAAACACATATTGAGAACGGGCAAATGAATGCATTACATCGTTGCTGCCAATCTGTGCTAGTGTAATATTAGGTTGGTTGCCTCAGGCTAGATTGTCAGATTAATGTATCCTGTATAAACTTGTAGCAAATTCATGCCACAGAACACACCTGGTTAATTATATGTAGACAAGATTTGGCCCTTATTGAGAGTCTGAAAATTGTTGTAATATTGTATGACATAAATTTACACTGTTTGGTATGATTTGTTCAACAATGGTACTCCTAGTCTCCTGGCAGCTGTGGAAGGAACGAAACTCCAGGGTTTTCGACTCTGCGCTCGCTTCGGTCACAGTGGTTCTGGAGTCCATCCGCTCAGAGGGCCAGCTATGGTCTTTAGCCGGCGTTGCTTTTTTTTGGGGATTTCTTGGGACTGTAGCGTGGCTCTGCCCCCTCCCGCTGTTTGGAGTTGCGTTTTTAACCGTCGTAGTAGTTCCTAGCTTCAAGTCCCCCCCCCCCCTTTTTAGGCATAAGCCAGTCTGGCTGATTGCTTTGTGTAACAAAAACTCTTTTCCTGCTAATATATTGACGTGCAATCCTTTTGCGCGTTCGCAAAAAAGATTTGTTCAACAATGTTCTCATTGCTAAACATTTAAGATGGTTACATCTTTGCTTGTTAGGTTTCAATTTTCATGCATGTGCTGCTAGGCACGTGGTTGGTTATTCTTGATTTTATTCACGAGCATTATTTTAACAATTTTCTACTTTTCATATTCCATAGGAGACTCTTCAGGTGAAAGATGGGGAGTTGCAGAATTTGGCCAACAATATTCGTGCTCGGGATGCTACAATTAAGGAAATAGCAGATAAATTAACACAGACTGCACAGGCTGCGGAAGCTGCTGCTTCTGCAACTCATACGATGGATGAACATAGAAGACTTCTATGTTCAGAGATTGAGCGCCTAAGACATTACAAGCAATGGAAAGACAAATGTAACAATCCATGCTCAAGGTAAATAGTTTTATTTAATATCTGAATTTTGAATGCTCTGAATTCTCATGCTCCAAATGGTCTATGGATATTACTGCTATGACAGTCTGAAGAAAAGGTAATTAGATTGAGCAAAGAGAAGGATCAATTGCTGAAGGAAAGAGATGCTGCACTTCAGGAGGCTCATATGTGGCGCACTGAGCTAGGGAAAGCTAGAGAGCAAGCAGTGGTACAAGAAGCAACTATTGCCAGAGTAGATGGGATGTTAAGGGCATCTGAAGCAGATGCTTGGGTGTACTGTCTCAAACCGCTGCATTGTCGTCATAGCGTATTATTATACCGTCTTCGCATTTGAACTCTTTACATGTACGTACAATTACAGCTCGAATTACTTCGGATCTTTCTAGAGGCATTTGGGGCACTGCGTCTTTGATTACAGCAACAATAACATCACCAATACGAGCATATCGCTGATTACTAGCAGCTCCTATGACTCGAATACACATTGCTATCTGCTATTCTGCTGTAGTAGTGCCTGACTAAAAACCTATTGTGTCAGTATATTCTGCCCTATCGAATGTAAGTAAGATAACAAGATCTGATATGTGCTCGTGTCTTAAGTGCTGGTGTCATGTATAAGTGTGATCAGGGCATGGTAGGCTCATGTAATGATGGTTACTGCTGCTATTCTCGTGTCAAAGCTTTGATAGCCTGTTAACGTATGGAACTTGTATACTCTACGGTGTCACTTGAACTAGGGTTTGTTTGGTTTAGTACTAACTTATTGCACTACCAAAATTTTGGTAACTTCAACAGTAGCAAATGTATGTTTGGTTTGCTACCAAATTTTGCCCACAATAATTCAAATTCAATACTACCCAATTTGGTAGTGTCTAAACTTATCAAGGTTTTGGCACTACAAGATTTTAGTAGGGCAAAAATTGGCTTCAAACAAAACAAGCCCTATACTTTGGTATGGCCACGGAATGGTTATTAATACATCATGAGTCTAGGCTCCGCACTGCCATACGCTCAGAACATTTTGACAAGCCAAAACAAGGTCTATTTTTTGCAGTTTGGTTTGAATTTGTTTGTCTTTGCTCTTTATTTATTTATCAGTCACCTGAAGTTGCAAAAATGCATAAAACCAACAGAGAAGTATGATGTTTTCATAATATAGTTAGCAATGGGCATCTTGCTGGAGGATATTTTTGAGAATGAAGGCCAACCTGAACATAAGAGACTTTTTACCGGTCATCAGAACACAATACAGTAAGGCTGTGTGACTCGATCTCACGAATTGATACTGTTCAAACAATGCCTCCAGGTCTCTCCAACCTTTAGAAGTCAGACCAAGCACTAAGTCTAGAAAAGTAGCATGAGCAAATACAAGTTATCTTTTTTTTTGGGAGGAGGAGCAAATAAGAGTTAGAAGGTTTCCATGATGGCATAATGCAACTTTCTCTAAGATATAATTTCCAAAATCCCAACACAATCATCAGTGTGAAGCAGGAGATTGGATTCAGTCATTCAGCCATTCAAGTAAACACTGGCAACTGGTAATAACTGGTAAGTGAAACAAGTCGATGGGACGATGGCTATTCAAAGCCAGGGGCTTTTCTTTCACAGTGCAGTTCTCCAGCAAGAACCTCCTCAACTATCAAAATTGCCTACATATGAGTATACATCACCTAAACTAAAAATGCTGAGCTTCCGCTTGCACTCCTGTAGTTGTCCTAATGGTGGTGATGATTCATGCTTTCGGCCAAATCTAGATGAAGACATTGGAATGTACACAAGTTTGGATGTTACAAAGATTAGGTGGTTCAGTCCACATAATCCATCACATCCCTGAAGATCACACGTCCATGGCTGACGGCCTCCCGGTGCGACGAAATGCCGGCTACATTCTTGAGCAATCTTACTACTTCACCAGCATCGTCGACATAGTACTTTGCTTTGCTGGGTTTCTGACCAACTGAACAGGCAAAGGGGTGCAGCGAATGCGGAGCTGGAGGTCATGTTGTCAATGCTTTTGAACATGTCTTCATCAGATCGATCGTTACTGATGCACACTACGAAATTCAGCGTCTTCCCGTTGTTCATCAATCTGTGAATTACCTTGTCCACAGCAAGACCCTTGCTAACTCCCTGCACAAGTAATGTATTTCATTTAGTGTGAACTGGACATAATGAGTTGAAAGTGAAAAAATGTAGTAATAAATTCAAATGGTATAGACCTGTGGTTTGACTTCTACAATGTAATGACCACACTTCACAACAACAGGTTCATTTGATAGCACCCTTTCAAGATGACCCAGTAGTTCCTTTGCTTGGCAGGAACCGAAGTCATGGTCTGCATCCAGATAATGCCATAATAGAGCACTTTCCTTTGGCTCTATGGAGGACCCATCAGTTGTTTCGATGTAAACTTGCATGACCGGTTCAACGTTGTGCTTCCACTCAAAATCATGGTTTGGATAGCTTGATTCCCATTCAGCTGCTTTGTTCCATCTGAGAGAACATAAACAGTTCATCATACTCCTGAATAATTCAACTGCACAATTGCATAATAGTGTGGGGAGAAAATGCAAATAAAAACAGATTTAAGAAGAAAAAAAAGGTACTCAAAATATTTACCTGACAAAATAGCCATGTTCTGCTGCAATAGCAAGCTTCTGACATAGAGCAAACCACTCATCAAGCAAACTACGCGTGTGAGATGGATGAAGGGGGTGCGCCGGGCTGCACGGCGCAGGGGCGGGGAAGCGGCGAGACGAGGGGATGAAGAGGATGGAGAGGCAGCAAGCCGGGCGGCACTGGGCTGAGCGGCCAGGCTAAGGGAAGAAGAGAGCAGAGCACCGGGGCAGGGAAACGGCGAGGCGACGGGAAGACGAGGGCGCCGCTGCTTACCGTACGGCGCCGGGGCGGCGAGGCGGCGTTGAGCGGAGCAGCGGCGGCGAGGCGAGGGGAGGAGGGAGTGGAGGCGACGCGGCGGTGCAGTTGAGGAGCGGCGCCGTGGTGGACTGGTGGGGGTGGGGATCGCTTCAGATGGACTGGGCTGGATATGGGCTCGAAAATCTTTGGACGAAATTACCCCTCGCTGATGATAATTAAGTGCTAATCTCGCTTCTAATCACAGCCGCTGATTAGCTTTAACTTTCGTGCAAGTTTTTTTTTTTTGCGGAGCATAGAAGCACATCCCAAATAACAAATAAAACTCAAATTAGTATATGTATATTTACAGTTAAATTTGTTATTTTTTGTTACAACTTCTAAAAGTTGAATTTGAACTTGCATGTTTGTGGGGGTAATATATTACATATTGTTCTATCTTGTTTTTTTAAAAAAAATCATAATTATTTAAGTTGATATACAATAAACGGGTGGACGTCCACTCGAGTGATTAGAATCCGTCTCCGAGTAACAAAAGCTAGTCTTGACTCTTGAGTACAGAAAAGGTTGGGGTAGATCTTAATTAACCGTGGCCAACAACAGTTAGTGAGGCGTCGTACCAATTTCTGTACTATCTGACTCAATTTAATTTCTAGTCTGGACAGTTTGATGGGGACATTCCCGGACCATATTTCACCAGTAATTACTGTTAAATGACAGTAGTTATATATGATTTCAATGATACCCAGTAGCTAGTGATTATCTGCATTATTGTGTAAATTAAATGGTAACAAAAAATTGATGTGCTTATATATCTATATCTTAGTCCATAGAGCAATCAATTAAGCGCCTCTCCGAAATTGTTGTCACCAGTGAGAAAAAAAAAAGGAGATTTGGAGGGCATTTCATTGTCACCACCAGTGTATACTAGAATATCAGTAATATGTAAAATATATTAATTCGATGCAGGGTAAGCAAGAGGTTAGCCAACAATATATCTAATTAACTCATTCGGGAACAGTAGTAACTAACCAGCACAACATTTTAAATTGCGGAGAGTGATCATGTACCACTAGTGATCAGCCCCAATACAGGATACATGGTTCAATTAATTATGTTCATGGTATAAAAATATGGGAGGTAATTCGGTGCATAAATAAACGAACTAGTGAAATAACTTGTATCTGTCCACCCCGATTAATTCTTGCTGGGCAAAGGAGATGGATTCAATAGCTACAGGGAAATTTGAGACCAAAGAGGGACTCAAAGTCCTGATACCTTCCATTCAAATTTATCACTACGTACAGAACATACATAGATGATCTAGCCATGTAAGGTCTTGTTTTTTCAAACTTGTGGTATGTATTTCTAGGTACGCGTTTTAGTTATAGGCAAGTGATGCAAAGCACTGCATCTACAATATTTTTGTATGATAAATATTTTTTCTACAAAGGAGAGAGCCACCATGGCATCATGCAAATTTATAGGCGTTGGGTGCAGATGCATGTATCTACTTTTAGGTAAAGATATAAGTCAAATTGGAGTATAGATTTTTTTTTTTTACTGCAAATACTGCTAGGGCTTTGCCCAGCAGTGTATTTTAATTAAAGAAAGGGAAATAATTACAAGAATTATAAATTACAAGGAACACTCAAAATTACATGATTTGTAACCAATCAAAAACGATTTGCTTTAAAGGATTCTTCATTCTGCATACACATATGCAGAGAGTACAGATTTTTCACCTACCATCTTCTCTTTCACTAAATGAAATAAGTCTTTGGCTTATTGTTCTACCGCGAAATCCAAGAGCGTCCAATGTTAGTGTTGGAGGAATGGTTTCACCGTGATCCGTCCCTGTAGATCCCCCCTCCAATAAAAAAATTGTATGATCTTCTAAACTGGACTCTGCAGATGCCTAAGAAGTGGCTTCGGAAGGACCCCAAGGGTCCTTTGAATAGGCCTCCGAGGATAGCGGGTCCAAAGCGGCCTCCTATCCGGGGAGGCTCCGGAGTAGACCCTCGGAGAGGGGCTCCTTGTTAGGCCTGTGGAGAAGGATAGAGCATTGATGGAGCAATCAATGCCCCCAACCACCGTAGACACATGCGCAGTGGGAGTAGGTAGGACAGATGCTACGGCACCTCGTTATCATGCCTGGACAGTGAGCCATACATCCAAGGATATTTCGCGGGATGGCCCATGAGTTCTGGTTTAATGGAGATAGTCCCATCTACGGACCCCTAAGCTTTTACCTTCTTGCTCCTAGGTCGGGGCCCTTCTGATAACCTCTATGTAATGTGCGGATGCCAGTGGGTACCTTGTAATTTCCCATACAACCCATAGGGCTATGTAAGTGTAATTCGCTCACGCAAAGGGGACATACAGAATAGAGAAAATACACATCTTACATACTTGTGTTTGATCCATGTTGGATTCTGTTCCAACAGTTAGAATAAATTCCAACACACGAATATGGTGAAAAACAGTACTGTTTCGTGATCGGAGTTGCTAATAATAACAAATCAACCTACCATATAAAACATTTTTATAGCAAAACTTAATGTTTAAGTTTCACCAAAGCAGCCCATGAAGACAACTCGTTCGGGATGAAGAGGATCAAAAGATAAACATAACAATATAAGATGAATTACTGGATTGATTATAGATAGGGGAGAGAGAACCTTTAGTAAAGCAAAAAAAAAAAAAAAGGATTCTCCCTAGGGTCGTTTAAATATGCATGACGATCCATATCATGACCAACTATTTTAACCTACATGTATTTGTTTTTAAGTTGTTTAAAACATCACATTTCAAATGACTGGAAGGAGTATAACATGATTGAGTAATGCATGACGTCTCCAACAAACGAAGCTAGTACTATTTCTTATCTCCTCAGCTGGATTAATTCCTGCAATACACCGCGGACTAGAAACCGACAAGCTGCTTGAGACAATGCAAGTAGCCCACTTTTCGCATTTTGGTCGCTTCTCTGAATTGAACATGTTTCTTGTGCCGTCACTTGATATGTTTTGTCATTCTGATGCCTTCCATTCCTTCTCATTCATCCTACAGGTTGAACCTTCAGAAGACACTCATTCATATGGCAGCATCTCTCCCTTTCATTCTACTTGCGTCTCTATTGGCCTGATGCTCCTTCAATATATATAGCCACATGTTATAAACTAGAGATAATGCTAGGGTCTTAATTAACCATAGTGACAAAACAGAGACTCTGTACTAATTTCTGTACTTTGTGATTATACAATTTGGTATGTACTGGACAGTTCCCTGATCTTAATTTCACAACAGTAATCCTTGGGAGATTGCAAAAGTAGCAGTAACAAAAAAAAAACGATGTGGTATATATAAATCAAGCAATTAGTACACTGAAATCCTTGGTTCAGGGATCAAACCAAGCAGCAGCCAATTAAGCACCTAAGCAGCACATGAACCAACAATCAAGAGGCACGTCGACAAACCATTCGAATCTCTAAATATCGAAATCTAGGCGGATAGCCCCTCCACGTGGCGCCATGCGATTCCAGTGTTAGACCCCCTGCTGCAGCCGTCGGATCGTAGATCTACGGTGAGAAAACGCTGCGATAGACCTCATTGTAATAATGGGTGATTTTAGGGTCTCCTCTCCGCCGCCGTGCTGCTCTCCCCAAATGACGTCGCCCCCTCTTCCTCCTACGCACGCTCTACCTCCGCCTCCGGCGTCGGATGCCGAGCCTCCCACGTGCCGGCACGCCGTTCTGTCCGCCGCCGTCCCCCCCTCCTCGTCGCTAGATGTGGAGAGGACTAGAGGAGCTTTGTGGCAGAGAGACCAGCTTCGACGATGCCGTCACTTCTCCCCGGAGTCTAAAGAAAATGGCGTCATCATCCATCAGCAGTCTGGAGCTCATTATTGCGCCGATTTAGGTCATCAAGGTGCTGTGATCCAGACGCCATTCTTCACAACAGGAATCTGGTTTGGCTTCAGCTACTGTTCTTCGTCGCCGTTGTTCTTGTTGTCGTAATACTAACTTTGTATTTGGATCATGTGGCGTTTCTTTCAGCAGTTTATGCAATACAGTGAGAATGTCAGTACCTTCTAAGTGTTTAATTAAGCCTTGGTAGGTTGGTAAAAGTTGGTGAAAAGAAGCGTATTGTACAGTTATAAATTGGAGTATGTTGATGTAGGGATCATGAAGGGTCTCTATCTTCGTCTGGTAGCAGCACGGACTCGGTAAAGACTTTTGATCATACTTCTCATCCTGACATTCTACAATTGATCATATTTGTTGTAAGGTCATCATTCTTCTGATTCACAAATCTTGGAGAATATAAATTCGTCTGTCCTGTTTTGCTTATCCTTGACATTGTAGTGCATTCTTTTCCTACATTATTGCAAAGTGTATGATCATACTTCTCTTGAAAATCTTGTGCAGTGCATGATCTCGGTTGTTGAGTGTGATTTTAAGCTTTGATTTTGAACAGCTGCGCAAAATTGAACTAAATGAGTTTCTACAGATAGCCTTGTTATTGCTAATAGAGTAATAATCTGTTCAATCAGCTAACAATCACTAAATTAGCTTTTACTGAATTAACCTGATTATGGCAATATTGGTATCATGGCCCATATAGATGCAGGAAAGACAACAACTACAGAATGAGTTTTGTATTACACATGAATGAACAGCTACAACAGACTGGATGGAACAAGAATAAGACAGGATTAACTATTACATCTTCAGCAACTACTGGCTGCAGGATATAATACATGAGATTTGGTTGTAGTCTCACAAAGTTAACATTTGTCAGTTCTGCTGCATATATAGGTTGCAGCGTGTGCAATATGTATGAGCATGCCTCTTTGCAATAGTATGTATATGCTCTTCGGCTGCATATACAACACATCTTCTGGGCCTGCTTTTTAAAATCCCAATCAAACGTTGTTTTGAATGGAGTATAATCTTTCGCGCTGATTTTCTAGTAATAATTAAAATCGCAGTTTGCGATCAGAAGTGATCAGCTATATATGATGCAGGGTTAAGAATTAGCAAATTACATTCACAATATAAAAACTTGGGAGCTAAGTGCATGCAACTGGTCAATGACTCGGTGCAATGGCTTCAAAATAAATGAACCAGCATCAAAACCAAAATAATGAACTGGAGAAATAAATTGGGCCGCCACATCAATCCATACATTAGCATGATTTTTGAGTTGCAGTTGGGTACAGCCAAACATCAGCAGGTTCACATCAATCCATACATTAGCATGATTTTTGACTTGCAGTTGGGTACAGCCAAACATCAGCACGTATAACATGCTTTGCTTCCGTCGCCTCTTTCTTATTTCTTCATAAGCTAGATATGTAACCTTTAATGCTTGTTACTTCAGCATTGTTTGATGGAGAAAAAGGATTGGAGCCATGCAAGCACACAAAATTTGTCTACAGATTTGGATGAGGTCACATACTAGGTTATTCTTTCAACCAAAGTAATGCAGGCTGCATCAAGAGGTTAAAACTAGTCAATGCAGGGATAACAAAGATGGATCCAAATTCCTGATACCTTCCGTTCACTGGTTCGCAACTACTGAATGTCTGAATCCTTAGATGTCCTAGCTAGTCATGTAAGGTCTCATTTTTTTGTTGAACATGTGGAATGTATTTCTAGGTATGCATTTTATAGGTGAGGGATGCAAAGTTCTGCACCTACCATCTTCTCTCTGAATTGTACTATCTTCATTCATATATCAATTAATCTGCTATTTATTTTCTAAAAATTCTATTATAGAGCCCCATCAATCTTTCTACTGAAAGGTAATAAGTGTAGATTGTCATTCCGTCAGCAGATTGGCAAGGCTAGATGAGAATGACAGTACATGACATCAATTTTTGTTGAAACAAGAACTTGATGAATTCATCCTCATGCGTATTCGCGATGTTCATGTAACAGTCTCCAGTCTCCACACACTAGAAGATTGGGATTACTCAAGAGCCATCCAGCCATTTTCAGAACCCAGAAGAGAGAACTTGTATCTAACATCTACCTGAACTAGTAATTTTTCATCTATCTAGTGTAATGAGAAGGGACCTTTCGGAATCAGATAAGCTTCATTAATCATATAGAAGCATAATAGATTCGAAGGATAGGGGAATAAATCTTATGTCACCACATCTTGAGTCAACGGTTATGCAGCTTTTCGTCAACTTTGGATGGAGATTCACAAACAGAATTCAATAATCATGTGATCTTTTCTGTTGTGTGTGCTCCTGTTTTTTTAGGTGTGTTTTTATGAATTGTTGAGATTAGTTGTGTTTGGTTGAATTGTTATAATAATTGGTTGTAGCTTTTCGAGCAAATCTCGGGATTATATTCCATTATCTATAAAAATATCACCACATCTAAAAGAACATATAGAAGAAAATGTCATTTTATCACAGCTCGCCGGATCTTCCAAGGGATCTAGATTGAAATTACTATATGTATGGTTTGTCTGAATAATAATAGTATCCCCTTAGGGCCCTGGGTAACATGTTTCTCTCAGTACTTGTTAAATTTCAATATGATGATGATGATAAAAAATCCTCAACAAACGGAAGATAGTATTTTCTCATACCCCTTGGTTTGGTTGGATTCCAATAAACAGGAGTAGAGGACGAGAAACCAGAAAGCTCCTGACGACAATGCAACGTGTCCCTACTTCGGATTGGACCTGTTTCTTGCAGCGTCACTTAATCAACCAATAAACATCGTGCAGACAGTGCTTTGTCATACCGATGCCTTTCAATCCTTTCTCATTTATCCAACATTCTGTAACTTTAGAAGATACAGAGCCATCAAACTCGTTCATATGACAGCATCGCTCTTTTCTTTCTACTTGCATCTCTCTTGCCCTGATACTCCTTTTATATATATAGCTACAGGATGTAAAAAATTATGTCATGCTAGGATCTCAATTAACCATGGTCAACAACACAGAAACTCTATTACTAATTTCTGTACTTTCAGACACAATGTAGTGCTCTATTACTAATTTCTGTACTTTCTGACACAATGTGGTCTCTACTATGGGCAGTTCGATGATGAATATTTCATGAACTTTTTGGGTACAAAAGTTCACTAGATGGAAGGTAAACAGTGGCTAATATACAGATCTTCATAGCGTTTCCCCTGCCTCACTTCTAGCTGCTGGACCCACATGATTGTAGCCGTCACACCGCACATTCCTTGCAGAATTCCTCTGTTTCCTCTGCTTCTCTGGATCTTCTAGCACAACTGGATGCTCAAGATATTCAGATCCTGACAACAGAAAATGGATTAGAGCCATGCAAGCATACAAAATAAAATCTAGAGACTTGGATGAGACAACAGGCTAGGTTATTATTTAAACCAACCTAATGGAGGCACCATCAAGATTCAAGAGGTTAAAACTACTCCATGCAGGAATGACAAAGAGGGATCCAAATTCCTGATACCTTCCATTCACTAGTAACTGGTTCACAACTACAGGGTACTGAATGTCTGAATTCTTGGATGTTCTAGTCATGTAAGGTCTTTTTTTTTCTGTTGAACATGTACAATGTATTTCTAGGTGTTCTTTTTATAGGTGGATGCTCACATATGCACCTACCATCTTCTCTGCTTTGTAATACGTACTTTTATTTATCTATAAGTTAATCTGGTATTTATTTTCTAAAAGTTCTCTCATAGATCCCCATCAATCTTTATACTAAAATGTAAAACGTGTATATGCTTCAATAAACTCTATTATGCTACTCGTGTCTTGCCATTGTAACAATATTACAATTAAGTACAGTACAACGAATGGTGTGTACTTCTGCACTAGTTTTTACAAACTAAGGAACACATACCTTTGGTCGGTTGTTCTGGAGTTGAATGAACTTGATGAAGATAAATGTAACTTTCCATGTGACCTGAACCAAGTAAAGTTGTGCACGTTCCACATGCATCGTCACTCGTCAGAACTTCTTGCATTAGCTACATGGTTGGTATCAATTAGTTTCTGATGCAAAAATTCCAGCTGTAAATTTTTGCCATGATACAATCATATAAAGCATGTGACATGAACTGTGTTGCCTGGTCGTGTCTCATAAAATCTCTTCTTCCTCAAGAAACAAAGGACATGTAACAACATGTATTGTGGAATCACGCAACAATCACTACTCAACTTGAGCAACTGCAAAAGATTTATGATGCGTGAAACATAAACTCAACACTATGTACATGATTAAATTTTCTTCTATCAATGGTTGATGATCTGTTAGTGCCAACTGGTTTTTATGAATAGAATACATCTAGCTGACATCTCAATGCCTCTCCCCTGTCATGAGATGAGAAAGAAATCAAGCCAACATCTGTGCTGTCTATTTTGAATACAATGCTAGAATATTGTATAACAGAAAATGGAAATTAATCCCACTATGCAGTCATAAGTAGTCTAGCTAAGAAATTACCCACAGTGTGGTCCTTATGGACCTCATGTAGGCATCAACCAATATATATCCTCTTTTAGTGAATCAAGAGTCTGCAATACATCAACTAATTCAGGCTGAGATTGGTCAGCCATTAGAAAGACATGGACTCCATCATGCAACTCAACCCAACTACATCCAGGCTCTTTCTTCACACACTCTATGCTCATGCTCTCTCTGATCATCCAGGTCTCATGCCAATCGCTTTCCGATGCATGTACATTTGATAGAGCAACCCAGTTGCTGTGATTCTCTGGATCAAGCTGGACCAGACGGGATGCCGCAAGTTGACCAAGTTTAGCATTCCCGTGGATTCTACATGAATTGAGTAGAGCACTCCAAGCAGCAATACTGGACTCAAATGGCATATTTGTAATGAAATCAAGAGCTTCTTCTAGGTAACCGCTCCTGCATAAGAGATCTGCCATACAACCATAGTGCTCAGGCTGCATCTTAACTGAGTTCTGACCATGAAACATCAACTTGAAGTAGTTCCAGCCTTCTTTCACAAGTCCGCTATGGCTACAAGCTGATAGCACTGCAAGATATGCGACACCATCTCGTTTTATTCCCAATTGTGACATCCTATCAAACATGCAGATTGCATCATGTACACGGCCAAACTTGCCATAAGCTGAGATCATTGTGGTCCAAAGAACAGCATCCGACGACAGTGCATCCCTAAAGACAAGCCCTGCTGAATCAACACACCCACATTTTGCATACATATCCACTAAGGAATTCCTGACGACCACATCTGAATCAAATCCACCGCGAATTACCCGTGCATGTGCTTGCATCCCTTGCTTCAACAATGCTAGCTCCCCACATGCATCCACAGATATGGCAAACGAGAAGCCATCTGCGTCAACCCCAGAAGACACCATCGACGAGAATAAACCAAGAGCCTCCTCAGCCTGCCCACTCCTGAGACACCCAGCCATCATCGAGTTCCATGCAACAATGTCCCTCACCAGCATCACCCCAAACAATTTCCTCGCATAGTCGATTTTCCCGCATCTCGTGTACATGTCGAGAACCCCATTCTCCACAACCGCATCAACCGACCCATGCAAACTCATCTTGACAACCCTGGCATGTATTTCCTTCCCAGCAGCGAGAGCGCCTGGCCCAATTCCGGCACAAGCAAGCAATGCACCTGACAGGGAATATCCATTGGGCACTACACCAGATATCACCATGCGGCGGAGAAGGGCGAGTGAATCCTGGTACAGGCCCTGATGCGCGTGGCCGGTGATGAGGGACGTCCAGGAGACCACATCCCGGTGGGGCATTTCGTCGAACACCCTCCGGGCGTAGCCAGGGAGCCCGCACCGGAGCGCGAGGTGGGCGAGGGAGGTGGCCAGGATGGCGGAGGCCGAGAGACCGAGCTTGAGGAGCACCGCGTAGAGTGGCATGACGTGCGTCGCCGAGCGCACGCCGGCGGCGGCCTTCAGGGCGCCGGCGAGGGAGGTGGCGTCCCACCGCTCCCCCGCAGGGCTCTGCCACGGGAGACCCCGACGTGACATGCCGGCAAGGCGGCAACGGCAGGTATGTCTCAGCCTGTGCGGCTGATCTCTCCGTGGAACCCGTCTACGCGGCGGCGGCGGCGGTCGCCGGCGACGAGTCGACGAGATAGCCGCGGCTGCGCGAGCAGCGTGACGTCAGCTGCGTGGACGGTTCGGATTTGATGGGCTTTATTTTTAGTTTTGAGATCATGTACATGGGCCGTGTTGGGCCTAAACAGAAGAGGCAGTTGGTGGGCTGAATTAGTTGTCGGATATGAGTTGGGTTAAATTAACTCCTGGGCTGAATTCGGTGATATATGTAGGGGTGATTGGATATTCATCGAAGGGAGGATACGGTATGTGTTTCTAATAATATTGTGGATAGAGATGCGGATCTGAATTGCGTTTCCAAAAACTCTAACGGATGTGGATTATCTGATATTTTAATCGAATTATTTGAATAGTGTTTCTCAGATTTTCTCCGGCCTCGTAACCACGCTCCCACTGATCCAATTCGGCAAGTAGTCCATGCCAGGAAAGGGAGAGAGTCGGTCGCACTATCTCTTCTTGTTCCTTCCCTTCCTCGATAAGCTCGACGGAGAAGCTAAGGCTATCAGTGACCTCTCTCGCTCCACCCCAGCCTGTCACCCTCCATCCCTAGCCCCACCATGTACTGCTCTCAATCCATCCCCTCTAGAAGTACAATAAAAACTGTGCGTGTGAGTGCGATGTGCGTGTATACTAATTGAATGCATATATGCGTGTCTTTACTGCAATAAACAATATAAACAAACATAATTAACCCCATGGGGCCATCGTATATGAATTTCGGTGTCCCAATCCAACGCTAGAAATTTAATTGGAATAGCCCCAGACATATGGCACCTACCATTGATTGATTATGCAAATATTGGCAGCCAATATGTCTGGGGCGATCCAAAAGTAGTGCAAGAATATAGATATCGATCAGTAATCCAGCCACAGATGTTTGGTCACCTAACACATACATCATCAGGTCGGTCTAAATTAACAGGCGTCAATATAGATGACCCTACTTAATCATATCCATGCAGCCAAGCATATCATGCAGTGCCGGGTGATAATCATTAATTAATACGGCATGCATATACATATTTATATGCATAATGCATTTGCATGCGTCACATGAAATACTCCCTCCGTCCGAAAATATGTACAGTTTTGCACGGTTCATGTCTAACATTTGACCGTTCGTCTTATTTAAAAATTTTTTATGATTAATATTTTTATTGTTATTAGATGATAAAACATGAATAGTATTTTATGTGTGACTAAATTTTTTTAATTTTCTCATAAATTTTTCAAATAGACGGACGGTCAAACGTTAGATACGAATTTCCACGGCTACACTTATTTTGGAATGGAGGTAGTATGATCCAGCTTGGGATCGATCGATCAAGAACAGTGAGATTTTGGGATCGACGTCGATCAACATCGTCATATCCTACTTGGCCTGCAGCAGCTAGATGACTGTGCATGCACATGCACATGGACAAATGTGACAGCAGATCGTCGGATATATATGTACTGCTTTTCTAGCTATAGTGTTGGGGGCACATGCAATGCTTGCACGATCTATTGGCATCGAATAGTACTGCAAAATTGATTTTTACAAGCGGTAAAAATCGATTTTGGCATACAGTCAAAATTGATTTACGCATGCGGTTAGGTGGTCCTCATGTGCTCTGGTGCCTGCGAAAATCATATTTTTCCATGCGGCCCGTGCAACCGTATGAAAATCCCATTATTATCCCATTATTTCATACGGTCATCTATACCGACCACACACGAAAATAATTTTGGCAGAAAAAAATAAAATAAAAAACCACAAATCGGTTGAATCCTTGCTAGCCGCCGGCCAAAACCCTAACACGTGCCACCGTCGCCCGCTCCAGCGGCCCGTGTGGCCCGAGTGCCTCTAGCCCAGCGCCGACCGCTCCTGCGGAGGAGAGGATAAGAGAGGAGTGCAAAGTGTCTGTGAGAGAGAAGGGGTGGAGTGAGAGGATTTGGTTTTTATATTTAGTTCCCTTGATTTTCATAAACGGACCTCTTAAAGAGAAGCCTGCAAAAATCTAATTTTCACATGCGGCCGCTTAAAAGACTCGCCTGGAACTATAAGTTTATTTTTCACATGTGGGCCTTTTAAGAGGATTTTTCGTCTGTGGCCCCTTGAACCGACTTGGGAGGAGTGGTTTTTGCATGTGTTATGGTCTGTTTGCAGTCTAAAGGGGTTTCATCCAGAGAAATCAATTATGAAGTAGTGAAATATGATCCACAACATTACATATTGCACGTTAATTTTACCGATCGATCTTTGCATATGTTGGTGCATAAATATACCGTATTTCCTCTAATTAATTTATCCCTTAAACTTCAAAGGCTAGCAAATTCCTCGCACAAAAACAAAGGGTGCATAAATGTAGAGAGCTTTTTCGCTACTCTTTTGTAAGGTGTAGTATTTCTAATAAATACTCCCTCCGTATTTTATAATGTATGACGCCGTTGACTTTTCAAACAACGTTTAACCATTCGTTCTATTAAAAATTTTTGTGTAAATATAAAAATATTTATGACATGTTTAAAGAATATTTGATGATGAATCAAGTCACATTAAAATAAATAATAATAACATAAATTTTTTGAATAATACGAATGGTCAAACGTTGAAAAAAAGTTAACAGCGTCGTACATTAAAATATTAAAATATGTATGGAGGTAGTATGTATGATCGATCATCGATTTGTGATACGTGATCTGGCGAGTTCATATAGGTCTGGGACCTTCATCCGGACAGACTTGTTTAGAAACTTTGTTGTGATGTCTGAACGGTCCAGACCTATCAAGGTTGTGTTTAGATCTAAATTTTGGATTCAAAGTTTGCAAAATTCCATCACATCAATATGTCATACACACACAACTTTTCAACTTTTCAGTCACATCATTTTCAGTTTTAATCAAAATTTAAACTTTGGATGGAACTAAACGCAGCCCAATTAACTAGTAGACAGTGATCAGTACATTGTACATAGTACACGTCCGGACCGATCGTCTGCTATATGTTCAGACACAGTACGTACCACCAGTTACATCTTTCCTGAGTTAAAGTAATTTAGTACGAGATGTCATATGTAATATAAATCTAGATAGACGTACAGATAGGCGTATGTCTATAAATTATTTATAGTATTAGATATCAGGTCTCATTTTTTCGTTTGTACTTATATTTATCAGCCAAAATTTAAATTTTCAACTTTAAATTTGGAGTTGATTTTGAGGTCTTCTCATCGAAGTTTAATTTTTCAACCTTTGTTTTTAGATCGCTAAGTACACGTATATAAAAGTTTTATTCACGAATTACTTTTCGTAACGATGGCTCCGGTCATATATTCGAACGTATAGTTCGGAGAGATCGGCCGGGGGATAGTTTTGCATCTTGGATGCATGCCTTATACTTCCTCCGTCTCTAAATATTTGACGCCGTTGACTTTTCTAAACATATTTGACTGTTCGTTTTATTCAAAAACTTTTATAAATATTATTTAAAAACTTGCGTGGTAATATATTTAACAATTAATCAAATTATAGGAAAAGAATTAATAATTTCTTAATTTTTTCAATAAGACGAACGGTCAAACATGTTTAAAAAGGTCAACGGCGTTAAATATTTAGGGACGGATGGAGTATTTGGCTGCTTCCATCGGCGACGTCCGCCGACACACTCGTCCGATTATTTTCCGAGCGCCATCATTTATGTAGCTGCACTACTAGCTAGGGTTAATTGCTCAATCATGTGTGAACGAGAAGTGCGTGTTGATGTGGTAATAGCAAGTTTAATAATATAGCCCACTACTAGCTCTAAATCATCTATAGCCAATGTAATAACTAATTTATACAATAGTTGCTTACTATACTATTAATATCTGGTCCCACCTGTCATATACACATTACGTCTTGAAGTCCGTGTTGCAGCTGACTACATATCTGTAGCCCGCTGCTCTTCTCTCTCTTCCTTTATCTCTTTAAAATATGTTTATAGCTGGCTTATAGCGTGCTATTGTACCTGCTCTAAGGCTGTGTTCGGAATAACGTGTTCCCGACATGCACAATACGCACGGAAAACGGAGCGGTCCATTAGAGCGTAAAAAATTAAGTATTAGCTTTTTTTTCAAAAATATATCGATATGATTTTTGTAAGCAACTTTCATATAGAAACTTTGATCGTCTGTCTTATTTGAATTATTTTTATAATTAGTATTTTTGTTGTTATGAGATGATAAAACATGAATAATACTTTACTCGTGACTTATGTTTTTAATTTTTTTTAAAAAAAATAAATAAGACGATTGTTCAAAATTAGACGCGGAAAACCATAGCTGCACTTAAAATGGAACAGAGGGAGTATTTGACACTTTTAACCACGCACTCAGAACATGAATGTAGATGGTTATAAAAGAACTTTTTGATTAACGTGGACGGGAATTTGATTAATTATTTATCAATTGGGTAAAATGATAAACTAATTAAGTATTGGATTTTGCGTAATGCCAATTATTTGTAAACAACTTTCTAGTCAAAGCTGTTACCACTAATTGCTAAAAAGAACGGTGGGACTATAAGTATGTACTAGGGCCTGGGTCAGAGGAAGATAACAATATGGAATAAGCATGATTAATGTACTCTGTTACACTGTCTCGAATTTTTGGATCCGCCCTAGCTAGCTGGAGTAGCTACTCTCTCCATTTCACAGTTAATGTAAGATTTTCTAACATTGTTAACATTCATATATATGCTAATGAATCTAGACATTATTATATACTTCCTCCATTTCACGATGTAAGTCATTCTAATATTTCCCACATTCATATTGATGTTAATGAAATCTAGATATACATATTGATGTTAATGAATCTAAATAGATATATATATCTAGATTTCATTAATATCAATATGAATGTGGAAAATGCTAGAATGACTTACATTGTGAAACGGAGGGAGTATATATATTCATTAGCATCTATATAAATATGGGAAATGTTAGAAAGTTTTACATTATGAAACAGAGGAAGTATATATGAGGATGCTCTCATAATTATTTACAGGACAAATCACCAGGGTTATGAGAGCATCATTGACCATAGATTAATCGAAGTAGATCGATATGCAAGCGTATATTGAATATGGTTATCATATTAATTAATTTGACCCCGTGTATCATATGCAAGCATGTATGCTAGCTAGTTTCCATCAAGATTCAAACAATCAGATCATAACTATAGCTACAGCTCGTCTTTCTTTTTTACAGAGCCAATTAGTCCCCACTAAATAAGAAATAAATCAAATTAAATGTAATTAATGTGCCACTGTATGTACGCATGGTTAGATTAGTACATGTACACACACATGGTTAGATTCTTCTTATTCAGAGGCCAGGGAGAGTTACTCGCGTGCAACACAAAATTAATTGACATTTGTTTTGTATTAAAATTAATTAACACAGATCTAAACTTCAGTAATTCAGTAAATAAAAGCATCAGAAAAAAGTAACATATTTATATGCAAATAAATGAATAATATCCCTCTCCACTCACTATTATATACATGAGATATTTCTAAATTTTATTGGGTGCTCTTAGTGACGTCGAGAACGAGAACTTAGGAGAATAATAATACAAAATAGAATGGGCATAGTTAGCATGTAATGCATGAATGCCTACGGACTACAGTTGCGAGTGCCCTATAGCTCGTACCACAATCTAATATACCTCCTCTGTCCAAAAAGAAATTTAATCCTATCTACGAAATATATGTGCAAATTCGTAGCTAGAGTTTATCTTTTTTTAACGGAGTAGTATATCATAAGGTTGCATATCTAAACCTAGAAATTGATAAGATAATTGCTAGTAGTTCATATGATAATTGCTATACTAGCAACTATCATATCAATCTCTAGGTTTAGATGTACGTCCGTACCTATATCTCTACATGCATGTTAATTACTCCCTCGTCGATGAATTTTAAGTATATGTAAATATACAACTTGATGTCAACTACAGGTTATTATTATAACTGGTTATTACTTGATGTCAACTACTGCTTGTTAATTATTTTCAGTCATAGTCAACAAGCAAGATGGATCGATACGTAGATAACGATTAACGAGGTAGCTAGTAGTTGTTTTGGGGGCAAAAACAGTGGATTGAAATTTTAAACTGCAACTAGAAAATTCTAATGTCAGTAATTATATAGGATCGAAGACTAAGATCTGTGACAAACAAGAACAATAAAAGCGAAGATAATAAAATAGCATAGTATGTTGCAAGCGTATATATATATATACATTTTTTTCTTTTATTAGATCCAATATAAGATACCTTTTTGCTATTAATTATCTGTCGATCTTATGAACCTTCGCACAACGTGTATATATATATATATATATATATATATATATATATATATATATATATATATATATATATATATATATATATATATATATATATATTAAACTTATAGAACATATATTATATTTAAACTTTGGAATGTATGTCATTAATTAATTAATGCAATTTCTAGTTTTGTTTATTTGGTGTTTTTTACAGGCTCACCTAAGTGTTTTCTATGTTTGTTTATGCTTGAAAGTTAGCTTATTTTCGGTGAAATAATTTGTCAGGGTTCACGTTTGAATGATTGTTTTAAGTAGTTCAATTAATTAAGACAAGTAAAAAAAAATCAATCACCACTGATGCATGGTCCCATGCATTTTGGAGTCAGTGAACAAGAAGCTTCAAATCAGGCTAGCTGACGATTTTTTATGCTAACTAACACGTGACATATCCATGATCCATCTCCAATCAATGAAGAAAACGATTTAAGTACGTTGCTGTTGTATGCACATATACATACTCTCTAAGATCAATAAGAAGGAAGTAAAATTAATTTATTTTTTAGGAGGTAAGACCAATTGATTGTTAGTACACCAATCAAATACATTATCTCTGATGCATGTGTGGCTCTATTTTAAAGAAACACAGCTGACACCAACCAGATCAAGCTAGATATATACAAGACACTTGATGGTACCAAGTTGCAAGTATATATCTAGCTAGTTATAAGTAAGTTCTAAATCAGCTACTTCATCCGTTTTATATTATAAGTCATTTAACTTTTTCTTAGCCAAATCTCTTAAAGTTTGACCAAGTTTGTAGTAAAATATAGTAACATTTTCAATATAAAACAAACATTATATCAGAATATATTTAATATTAAATTTAATAAAACTAATTTGGTATCGTAGATGTTGCTAATTTCTCTATAAATTTGGTTAAACCTAAGGAATTTTGACTAAGAAAAAAGTAAAACGACTTATAATATGAAACGGAGGGAGTAGTTATTAGGACACGCACACACACGGGCTTTTCAATTTCTTTTCTTTCCCTCTTTTATACATCAAATTTAGTAGTGATATATTCCGTGGTAGTAAAGATTTGTAATATACTCTATACTATCAAAAAAAATTGTAATTTTCATGACCGCTTGTATTGTACAGTATTTCATAGATAAAAGATATACGCGGAGACATCCCTCCATGGGTAATTGAAAAAACCCTCCTAGCTATAATAACTCTATTACATACAAGCAACACAGCACGCACACGTTCAAGTATGTGCATTATGTGTGTGGGAAAAGTTATTAAAAAAATATCACCATGCATATCCCTAACAATAATTGAGTATGATCTGATGGACAAATTAATAAAAACAGAAGTAACTAACTGATATCGAGCAGGTTCCAAACCATACTGTACTAGTAAACTTCTTACGTACGATATTTGATTAATCATGGTTTAATTTAAGAATGTATCATGTTTGCTCCCAGTGAGATCATCAACTACTTTTGGACAGACCCGTCAAGTCTTTGATAAAGTTGTGAATTAGGAAAAAGATGCAAATAATATATATATGCGGTACAAATTTGCACACGGATTGTAACCTATACACGTTAAAATAATTTATTGTCTCCGGTTCCTCAGGACTAGCTTACTCGTTAGAATAGGATCAGAGACCGATTGATAAGATAATTAATGTAAAGTGTGTGTGAACGATGTACTAAACCTAAGTTTATGACTGCATCATCAGCCATTTCACACTTACTACAAAAGAGTATATTATACTCGTACCATCAAAGAATAGGTGCAGTCAAATCTTAATATCTTAAGCCATTAATATATAAAAAGTTAGAATATAATACATAAAAATGTAATGATAGATTTATCATGAAAATTATATATGTTTATATAGTTATGTTTTAATTGATTGATAAGTACTATATAGTTAAGAAAAATAATATATAAGACATATTCATTAAAGATTGTATGTCGAATTCCAAAACGTCGAGCAAAAAAGAACCTACTCCTATGTACTAACAAGGAAATTTTGAGCGCCAACATCATATGGCCACTCAAAATTAATTACAATCATCAAGTGAGAGAGAGCTAGCTAGCTACTACTAGGAAACATCCAATCCCATCCTATATTGGTTTTTTATAGTACAGTGGGAGTACCTTATTATACGTGCATCAGGTCAGCCTTCTAAATATGTATACTCCGTCCATTCTAAATTAAAGTATATATAAATACTTATAAAGTTTTACGAGGAGATTAAAAAGATAAGCGGATTTGAGTAAGAAATGGATGTGTTTGTCTACAGATATAGAAAGTTTGTTGAGATGAGAAATCAGCTAGAGAAATTAAATAGAAAATTAGTGGTTGTGATTAGTTGAGAAAATAGAGTACGTAGTTGTAATTTAGAACAATTTAGATGCTAGAAAATTTTATGTTTTGGGATGTATGGAGTAATATTTTTTTCTCAACTTTTACCTCCTTATTGATTGACTAGTCTCCCTTGTGATAATCATGCATGTGTGTACACTTAGTGAAAACACGTGGGAATAGATCGAGCTACACAAGTCACTGACCAACCATGCATGCATGCATCACGCTCTACCTAGCTAGCTATAGTTGCTGATTGGCAGGCAGCTTAGCTGGCTCATTGCTATCTCTTTTGTCAGCTAGTCCACAAAACCACTACACGCAATATCATGCAACATCACCACTATACTACACACATACTCCCTCTGTACCAAAATAACTCAATCTAAAATGAGATGTGGTTCATCCTAGTGTTTAAATTCGTTGGTTTAGGATAAATCATTCTAGGTTAAAGTATTTTAGGGCCGAGGGAGTAAACCCTAGCCAACCAACTCTCTGGCACTCTGACATATTGGCTGTCTAACCATTCAATCAATCCAAAACATGCATCATCCCAGCCAACCCTGGCTCCATCACCGACCCGGCCCAACCCGACCCGCGGCCCAACCCAGCCCGGCCTACCATTCACCGGAGCTCTATAAATACCATCTTTCTCCCAAGTGTATAACACACCGTGCCTTGAGCTCTTCTCACTAGCTATAGCTAGATCACTACTAGCTATAGCAGCTAGCTTATTACCACTGGTGGCCGGCGGCGATCACCGGAGATGACGATGGCCGGCGGTGGCAGTGCGGCGGCGGCGAATGCGAAGAAGAAGAAGAAGATGGGGGAGGAGAAGCTGATCATAATGTCGGAGAAGGTGAGGTTCATCGACATCCTGTCGCTGCTGCTCCTCCGGCGGCCGATCACCAGCTACCACTTCGTGGACGCCGGCGACGCGACCGCCGCCGCCGCCGGCGAGCTGGGCAGCACGCCGGGGGAGTGGCTGGTCGCCCTCACCGAGATAATCCAGAAGGCGCTCGCCGCCGCATACTACCCGGCCAAGTACCTCGGCGCCGCCGTCGAGTTCTTCCTCAACTTCGTCTCCCTCAACGGCGGCGTCATCGGCATCCTCTGGAACATCGTCCGATGTACGTGCGTCGCCGTCGATCGCCGCCGGTGATCTATCCATCGATCGGTTTTGTTTAATCAGTTCATGCATGCACGCATTATTTGCACTGCATATGTATCACACATGCATGCATAAATTAACGTCCATACTATATAATTAGTTATTCATTTTTCATCGTGGTTAATTATATACTTCATTCCAACGTACATAAATGCATGGATATATGCCACAATAAATATGAATTGATACATATCATGGACCGAAATGGCCAAATGGGTAATTGAATTAAGTGCAAATGTACACATGTAAAAAATGCTTAATTTTTCATAATTTGACTTGTGAAAACGTAATTTTATATATACGTAAATTTATTACCAACGGAGGAAGTACAAATTCATGAACGCCAAGATGGACGTAATTAACTTTATTACACGTATGGATCGAGGAGAAAATTAACACAGATGATTATTGCTGAATATGCATGCTGCTGTGAAAGAGTTGACGTAAAATGTGGCACGTGAGGTAAGTCTGCCTACAAATTAAAAGGATGAGGACCTCTCTCTCCCTCTCTCGTGTGTGTGTGTGTGTGTGTGTGTGTGTCAGACTGTCAGTGTGTGAGTTGTTGTTCTATTTATGATCCACTTCAAAGGTTTTTATGATACTTTGTATAAACTAATTAATGCCATGTTAACATAATAATTTCTTACTAATTAACTAAAACTATAAGGAAGCTGACAGAAAGCATAATATATTTTTGTCTTATCTTCCAGTTTTGGATCACCAGGTTTATTTTCTTGTTAAGCTAACAACAACTTGAACATTGTTTTTCTTTTTCCAAAGGAAGCACAACTTGAATAAGTTCAATTATATACTACTATCACCTACCAATTGCAAGAAGCTTCTAACCAAACAGTTGAATCAAATTATCAATCACAATTTGCTCATCAGTTAAATTAATATTGGAAGCATGCATGCATGACTAAATAATTCAAACAAACCAATTAATTAAACGTGTGTAATTAATTAACTAAGTAATCGGCAGTTAAACTGGTGATCCCACTGAACCGGGAGGCGCCAAACTTCCGGTCCATGATCGCCATGATCGACGGGAGGACGGAGCTGAAGCCGATGAAGCCGGCCGCCACCGCCGGAGTCGAGGACGACGACTTGGAGAGCGGCGGGTGCGCCGCCGCCGGCGTGCCGCTCATCCGGCGGCACCTCGTCGACAGCGAGCACCTCCTCGCCGAACAGTACAGCATCTCCGAGGTCACCGTCATGGCCTCCAAGATCGCCTATGAGAACGCCGCCTACATCGAGAACGTCGTCAACAATGTCTGGAAGGTATATATATATACTCCCTCCGTCCGTCCCTTAATATAAAGGATCTTAACATTTTGCTTATACTATTTGGCCACTCGTCTTATTAAAAAAATTGTGTAAATATAAAAAACGAAAAATTATGCTTAAAGTACTTTGGATAATAAAGTAAGTCACAAATAAAATAAGTAATAATTTTAAATTTTTTTAAATAAGAAGAATGGTCAAACAGTACAAGCAAAATATCAAAATCCCTTATATTATGAAAAGGAGGGAGTACATACTTATACTCATACAGACGCACACTCACTTTTATTAACTCGCACGCTTTTAATTATCTATGTGTATATATATATGAACATCTATGATGGACTGAACCTATATATGTTTTTGATATTGAAGAAGTTAACGGACACGTTGCCTTAATTTGTTTCTTAATTTTCTTAAAACTTAGTCACAAAATGTTCTTGAATGATTTGCTCGATTTGATTTTAAAAGTTAGCAATGCCGGCCGATCGTCCAAAATATTTCAGATCTAGCCACTTTAATGAGCGTGGCCAACCAAAAGCATATTATTATTCTGCATATACAGTATTCACATAAAAATAAAAAAAATACTCTCTCCGTATTTTAATGTACGACGCCGTTGACCTTTTGACCAACATTTGACCATTCGTTTTATTCAAAAAATTTGTATAAATATAAAAATATTTATGTCATGCTTAAAGAACATTCGATGATGAATCAAATCACAATAAAATAAATGATAATTACATAAATTTTTTGAATAAGACAAATGGTCAAACGTTGAATAAAAAATCAATGATGTCATTAATTAAAATATGGAGGTAGTATATGATCTTCAAAACAGTTGTGAAATAATTTGTTGTGCAGAACTGCACGATCGACGATGGTAACAAAGAGTCAAGGACACATTGTGAATTATTTTGGGACAAGTACACATGTTATACTCCATTCATGTGCTTGTGATGGAGATTGATCATGCATGTTCATGGATTTTAGCTAATGTACATATGTGTGACACAAGTAGTACTTCCGTTTTTTTTCCGACAATGAAACATATATACTCCTACGTAATTTGTATCTTCATCAAAAGGGAGAATACACAAATGCTCAGTGTGCACAAGTAATTAATTGGTTATAAATACATATTTATGATACAAAAGTTTATTTGCTCATCTTAAAAGAAAATAGTTAATATATAAGGTGGGGACAAATATACTTTGGCCTTAAAATAAAATGCATTAAATTAAACCTAGCCCACACCTAATATGTCAATTCATATCTATTCTTCATTTTATATTTATGATCCTGTTTTGTGCTGGAACAGATCGATTTCTTTTTGTGTGCATGTGTGCGAGCATGCTGGAATTAATAGATTTGTTCCACCCAAAAATTAATTATTAATCACTTTGCTGCAAGATTTATAAACTTCTGTTGATATTTCAAGGAATTTTAATTATTTGTTTTAAGAACTGATGAGCACTGAATCTGACTGGTGTTTAATTTGGAATATGAATGTATCATGCAGTTTAATTTCGTGGGCTTCTACAGCTGCTGGAACAGTAAGTTAATTATTCCTCCATGCTCAATTAATTCAATGCATCAATAATTTCGTCACGAAATTGCTTACATATTCACCTGAAAATTACTATCAAAAATTAAATTGAAATTACTAACCAATAAAACAGCAACTAATTCGATCATCAAAGACCAGAGATGTAAACCATTTTAAAAAAAAGAACAATTACTACTCTAGCATCGTCCAAATTCATATAGATGTCAATGAATCTAAACACGTATATGTGAAACGGAGGAAGTACTAATTTGGTCGTCGCCGGCAATGGCGGGCGTGGTGCAGAGTTCATCGGGTCGGAGACGACGCAGGCGTTCGTGATGACGGAGCGCGCCACGGACGCGGCGGCGATCGTGGTGGCGTTCCGTGGCACGGAGCCGTTCAACATGCAGGACTGGTCCACCGACGTCAACCTCTCCTGGCTCGGCATGGCCGCCATGGGCCACGTCCATGTCGGCTTCCTCAAGGCGCTCGGCCTCCAGGAGGTGGACGCCAAGGACGCCGCCCGCGCCTTCCCGCGAGAGCCCCCCGCCGCCGCCGCCCTCGTCGGCAGGTCCTTCGCTTACTACAAGCTCCGCGACGTGCTCCGCGACCAGCTCAGGCGCCACCCCAACGCCCGCGTCGTCGTCACGGGCCACAGCCTCGGCGGCGCGCTCGCCGCCGCGTTCCCGGCGCTCCTCGCGTTCCACGGCGAGGCCGACGTCGTGTCCCGCATCGCCGCTGTCCACACCTACGGCCAGCCCCGCGTCGGCGACGCCACGTTCGCCGGCTTCCTCGCCGCCAACGCGGCGACCCCGGTCGCGTTCCAGCGCGTGGTCTACCGGTACGACATCGTGCCGAGGGTGCCGTTCGACGTGCCGCCGGTGGCGGACTTCAGGCACGGCGGGACGTGCGTGTACTACGACGGGTGGTACGCCGGGAGGACGCTCGCCGCCGGCGAGGACGCACCGAACAAGAACTACTTCAACCCCAAGTACATCGTGTCCATGTACGGCAACGCGTGGGGTGACCTGTTCAAGGCCATGTTCTTGTGGGCGAAAGAGGGGAAGGACTACCGGGAGGGCCCCGTGTCCATCGTCTACCGCGCCGCCGGCCTCCTCTTCCCCGGCCTCGCCTCCCATAGCCCTCGTGACTATGTCAATGCCATCCGCCTCGGCCACGTCGCGCCTAAGGAAGCTTAGTCTCTCTACTATTATAAAAGCAGAGTCGTCCTCCTTATATCCCCTCCTCTCACAAAACGAGGCAGAAAAACAAAAGTCCCAAAAATTCTACCAGCGAAGTGTTGGGTTGGGTTCGTGTCCAAGTAAGCTTAGTGAGGTGAGGTGAGAGGTTGAGCCGGGGAAGAAGATGATGAACAATTAAGTTTTTATTTGTATTTTATTTTTGCTCTATTTTGTTTTATATTTTTGTGTTTGTATGTTATTTCTATTATGTGTATCTTGGAAAAAAATGTAAAAATAATCTGCAAAATTAAGCAGCTTAATTATCATATGGTCGTCTGCCTCATTATGTTTGGCTGAACTAATCGAATCAAAACACACTGAATTTTCTCCTATTCCTGGAAGACTACCACATTACGTTACCGTTTCAATTTGGTCAAAGGTCTACTTTTTTCGATCTCAACATAGATGGACAAAGGTTAGTTGCTAAAATGAATGTACTACAGAAACGAGGGGACAAAGCAGACAGAGTAGCACAGAAACCAATATGTACTATGTTTCATATTATAAGTTGTTTAATTCTTTTTTAATACTTTTTATAGAAAAAATTAGCAACATCTACATCAACAAATTAGTTTCACTAAAGCTAAATTTTAATATTTTTTTTGATACTAAGTTTGTTCTGTGTTGAAAATGGTTATATATTTTTATAAGTTTGGTTAAACTTAAAAATTTTGATTAGGAAAAAAGTCAAAACGACTTATAATATGAAACGGATGGTGTACCTATTAGAGTATGTTCAATACGCTGATCCAGCAGGTTCCAAGATATTTCAGGCCATCCTATCCTTACATGAAGAGAAGATAAGTGAGGAGAGAGAACGAAGAGAGTGACAAATCCAGCGTCGGGACAAAAGTTAGTACCCAAAGACATGTGAAAAACGAGGGCGATAAAGTAGTAGACGGAACCAATCAATCAAGGGTTACCCATCAATCAAAGAGGGCATGAAGCTATTATGGATCCATTTTTTCTGTTGCAGTACTTACTAACTTGATGCTGATTGTCTCCTGACTTCCCAGCTGGAGGCCTGGAGTAGTACACATTTGTTTGCCTTACTCATATATGCTCTCAAGGGTGACCGACGTTTTTGGGTGGGTGCTCTCTTGCTTTCTATGCATCATATGATCAACATCATGTTCCTCTCTAGCGAGTCCTGATCAAATCTTTAATATTTGCATGAATTCCAGTTTGATTTCTGTAATATTTGCATGCATGAATACTCGATGCATTTCCCCTTTATTGCCTCATTTGTTTCCTAACAAAAGATGGTGCATTCAGAGTTTTACCTACAGCTAGCACAGCGATCTTTCAGATGATTAGAAAAATATCCCCAGCTTTAGCACCAGCAGATGCACATAGCCAATAAATATGGTATATACTCCCTCCGGTTTTTAGTTGTTGACGCTATCGATTTATAGACGTATGTTTGACCATTCGTCTTATTAAAAATATTTTAGTAAATATATAAAATTATAAGACATATGTATAATAACTTTAATGATAAATCAAATCATAACAAAATAAATAATATTATATAAGTTTTTCAATAAGATAAAATGGCTAAATGTATGTCTAAAGGTTAACCAGAGGCCTAAACGTAAAATTACAACTCAGGGTACTATTCACGAAGGGCGGTGGCCAAATTATTACGCGCGAACTGGATGGCTTTTTCGCAAAATCGCCAACCCGCGCACTATTGCTATCCTACGTGGCACCCCTCCTCGTTCGCCCCATGCGCACGGCTTAATAATTCCCCGATTTGTTTGTCTTGCTCATAAGGAATGGATGTTCTCTTGCTTTCCATGCATCATCATCAAACATCATGTTCCGCTTCACGAACTTCAGTTTAATTTTTGTACTATTTGCATGCTTGAATACTCATTGCATTTCCCTTTTATTGTCTCTTTTTTTTCCCTAAGAAAAGATGGTGCATTCAGAGTTTTACCTACAGCTAGCACAGTGATCTTTCAGATGACGAGAAAAATACCCCAGCCTTAGCACCTGGAGATGCATTTAGCCAATACGTGTGATATGTACTCTGTCCGGTTTTTAGTTTTCGACGCTGTTGATTTTTTTTACATGTATATGACCATTCGTTTTATTCGAAAAAAAATGTGCAAATATATAAAAACATAGTCAGGCTTACAGATACTTTGATGATAAATTAAATCACAACAGAATAAATAATATTAGGTGTTCTTTTTAATATGATGAATGATCAAATATATGTCTGAAAGTCGAACATTAAAAACCGGAGGGAGTACATATCAGGTGAAAATGCATCACAATTTAGAACATGTCGGTCCATCTCAGCTGTAGTAGATATTAGGTCAGCCCAGACTGGCCATAAATTAAGTTTGGCAAGTAGAATACACAGACTATCAGTCACATAACCAGTCAAATGGACATAAAAGCACAGAGGCCCATAATACTAGTAGTCATAAGTTCAGAGGGCTGCAAAATATATCTCCAGCTAATATCCAGTAACAAACTTCACTGTCTCAAAGCCCTAGCTCCAAAATATATGTAGTACTGCATTAGGTTCATGTATATATATGCAGTACTGCATTTGGTTCATGTATATATATGTGTGTTCCATACCATATCCATTGAGGTCAAAGGTAGGTTGATGAAGAACCAAGTGGCGGCCAAGCCATCAGCGCCTTCTCTTGGTCGCCTTGTACAGCTTGATAACTTGCTGAATCACCTCCCTCGTGCCCGCCTTCCGCCCCTCCTCGTAGTTCCATAGCTCCAGGAATGGATCCCTGCCACCAATGCTATGCATGTCGAGCTCGAACAGAGCATTTGTCACCGCATCATAGACTTCTTGACCGTACTCCTCTTTCAGTTGTTGGAGCTTCTCGTCATCCTCCCTGATTACTTTCTGGAAATACATGTTTACCATTAGTGATTTTTAGATGATAGAAGCTTTATTGAACTCCGACTACATCAAGGGTGATACAACCGTACTAAAAACACTCCCAGTCTCTGCATAGCTAAGATGCGCACAGCCAATAGGTGAAGGATATGAAACATACATATAGATCCTTCGGTCATCCCAGCAAAAAAGATAGATAGATAGATATCTACAAATCTACACCATCGATCAAGTATAGATAGATAGATAGATAGATATCTACAAATCTACACTATCTATCTATCTATCTATAAGAGAAGAGAGAAATTCTTCAAAGATTTGATTTTCTACAAATCTACACCATCGATCAAGTATAGTTGCAGGGGGAACATGAAACAGAAAAGTTGGTAAAGTCACTGAGCCGCATACGAGTAAATGACGAAGATTGGTAACTAAGAATAATAGGATCATTGTATATGTGGTGTAAGTATTAAACTCTGAGTTCATGTATCAGGTCATACTCATACCGATTCTCTGACTAGCAATTTTAGATTTCCAGTAAAAGGATCGTCCTGAGTAGATTGCAAGGTTTGAAATTCTGTACGGCACTAGATATTTCAATTATTAACTACCAGGGCTAAAATAGCAAAGAGAAATTCTCACCGACTCTTTTCCATTGACCCAAACAGACTTAAAAGGATGCCATTCCGGATCTTTGATTTCATTTTGCCACTTCGAACAAAGAACAGAACTTTCAACTTCTGCAAAATCTTCTGAAAATCTTCGCCTGCAGGCATCCGAAAATACTTTCAAGTCAAGCTCACCAATCCTCTTGATGCCTATCTGTGCTTGGCTCCTTATGTCAGAAGGCAATCTCTGTAGAGACTGCAATTAAACAGAACCAAAAAGAGTTACAAACATGCATTCTCATGGAAAACAAGTACACTTACTTGAACCATACAGTATTCCATAGAAAGTAACATACATCTATCACCAATTTTCGAGCTTCCTGCAGCTCATCCTTGCTCCTTTTTTCCTTCAGAATTAGAGTCTGGTTCATGTTGTCCATATAATTCATATCTTCAATCTTTTCTTCCAGCTCATTTGTCAGCGCCTCTATCGTTTTCTCTAAATCTGAATCTTCAGTGCCTTGCGTGTGCTTTGTCACTTGCAATTTGCCTTTCAGATGGGCTATTTCTAATTCAAGTTTCTGCTTCCTGTCCAATTGTTCATGCAACCTCATATTACTGTTCAAAGTAGCTTCTTTCTCCCTCTGCAGTTTCCACACAATCAAAAAAAGGATCACAAAACCTGTACAGTTAAAAAAAAAACAGTGCTTAAAAATATCAAAGAACAGAAACTGACATTGTGTTCTTCCACAAGCCTCAGCACATTGCCATCAGCTTTCTGCTGCTCCAATTCTGCCAGCCTAAGATGATCAGCTTTCTTTGCATTCTATAAAGCAAAAGACACAATTATATCATGTATGGTGTATGTATATTTTCATATAAAAGTGGTTTAGTGGCATTCTCCTTTTCCACTGCAACTATGTTACCAGCCAAGGAAGGCTGCCCAAATTGCATTATGTATGTCAATCAAAACATTCAAAAAAAATTTCTACATGATATCTGAGAACAAAAGATAGAACATGGTGTCTTTGACTGAGGGAGGTTAAGAAAAAAATCATTTTGATGGAACAATAATCAAAGTTATGAATGCTAAACAAAAGCTGTAGATAATATAAATGATTCGGCAAAAAAAACACATATGAAATCAAAAAAACTGTAGTTCTGTTAGCCAAAGAAAACTACAAATTTTATAACTTAAATGATGTTATACAATTCTTATTGGTTGATCAATATGATACGTAGAGAAGAAATGACTCACCTTTTGCATCAGCACCTCAAGGTTTCTTTTGTCAGAATCAGCCTGTGCAGTCAACTCTTCAAGTCTTTTGCAATTTGCATCAAGCTCATGCATCATAGATTGGAGATTCAGACGTAGCTTCTGGTTCTCATCAACTGTCCTTTGTGCTTGTTCATAAGCAAGTTGTTGCATCTTCTGGATTTCTAGTGATTTTGAAATTTAAAAGATAACTTAGTATTCAATATAACCTAAAGAACATTGCTCAATATAAAGAGAACAGAGACCATCACATGCAAACATTTACTAAACAACATATCTTACACAAATTTGAAGGAGATAGGCACATGCACACCTGTATTGCATGACTTGAGCATATTTTCCCTGCTCTCCATCATTTTGCCAAGCGACAGATATCTCTCATCATACACACTCTGAAGTTTCTCCAAGTGTATTTCCTTCTCTTTAACTTGACAAGCTAAACTGGCCATAAGCTTGTCAGTTTTAACTGTTCCTTCATTCTCAACATCACTCACTGTTTTCAGGTCACCATTTCTTTTCAGATGCTCACCAATTGGCCCCGAGGAATTGTAATCATCAGCCCTTGCGATCCATCCAAAAGGCTCTGGCCCTCCACGCCCTGAATCCAGCCAAGCCTTTTTACCACACCCCTTCTTCTCAAATTCACTTTCAAATTGCAATGCATTCCTAAAACTACTCCAGTCCTTCCCAAACTCAATAATAGCGTTGCCCGAAGGTCTACCTTTACTGTATACAGAATACACCTTCGATGGATGATAACACGAGAAATGCTCCTTCAGCCGGTTTGCACTTTTTCCAACATACTCAGCAGGCATATTGACTATGATACCCATCCAGGGCCAAACAAACAGATCGTTCTTGCTATGTTGAGGAGGCTGTGACAGTGGCCTAGACGATTCCGCGGTATCATCTTTCAAATGCAATGCAAGGGCTCGATGGTTAGCCTTCTCTTTCGCTGGCCGATCATCCGCAGATCCTACAGCCAAGGCATGCTGCAGTAAACCATGTGCATTGTAGTCATTCTTTTCATCTGAACAAAAGGGACACTGGTACATATTCTTATCGTTCATCACTTTTATATCTCCTGCTTCCAAAAGCGCATAAGTGTCACTGCCATAAGCTTCAAGCTCAGGATCCTCATCAGAGGTATGCTCCATCAGAGAACAGCAGGGCAAATCAACAACCCTGGGAGAAATAAACAAGTGAACATGAATTGGGTGTGCTCAACATAGTACAGAATGCTGAAGCTGCAGTACATATGTGAGCAATGGTCAATACTAGAAAAATGTCAGCGTAAAAACAACAGTATAACTTACAAGAGTGACTAAATACATATGTTTCAGATGGTGAGTAAGCTCATCTCATACTCCCTACAAACCGCCTGTCCTCTTGCAGAGAACAAACAGGACATAGTGCAAACTACAAAACATGAAACAACACGACAATCTGTACTCAATGCACAACGATGGGGTTAGCAATGTGTTTCGCAAACAGCCCGTCACATCATCCCATCATTGGTTTCTATCAACAAGGTTTAACGACTGAAATTGAGCTCTATATTAAACCTCATACATGCCAGGTGTGCATGAGGATTTGGAGTATATAGAAACAGTAACAAGGTACCTAAAAAGTTACTGCATTCCAGAAACACACCCAACACCGATACTCTCCATTTGTTCATAATTTGCAAAGCCTCCTCTAATCCATAACTTTATCTTTCTTTCAGGCACTAATTGGATTAATTAGCAAAATCTATTAAATTAAACTTTGACTAAAATTTTGCGTCATACCCGGTCAAAATTCCTCTAATCGTAAGAAGCAAGAACTAAGCCATCCAAAAAGAAAAAAAAAGAAATTTGTGGTCATCAACCCATGATTAATTGCGAAAGCCAGTAAATAAACCCCAAAAAAAAAAACAAGAAACGATTTTTCGACGCTATCCAGACTGCAGCGCACACCGCAACCACCGATCCACAACACGGAAAAGAAGAAAGAAGCAACCATCGATCTTGTTGGGAGGAGAAAGGAAATGGAAAAAGTAAAAGTTGGGGTACTATTCGAGGGTTTTTGGTTGAGAGGAAGGAAACAAACCGAGGGCTTTTTTTTCCCAATGCATTCTCACCTGGAGCAGGAGGAGGAGGAGGGGAGGGAGCGAGGTGGTGGTGGTTCTTGTTCTTGCGTGGGAGATTATTCTTCGCGATGGTCTCTTCTTGGCATCGCTAGCTAGCTAGGTAGGAAGCCCTAGGGAGGAGGAGGAAGGCAAGCAGGCACTGTGAACAAGATGAGGCGGAAGAGAGATGAAGGGGAAGATGTAGAAGCACCCAACTTGATAAATGAAGCAATCAAATCAAGCTGCTGCCCAGTGCCCACTACCACTAGAGTATCGGGGGAAAATACACAGTGCAAGCGCGCGCGCACATATATATATATATATATATATATATATATATATATATATATATATATATATATATATATATATATATATATATATATATATATATATATATATATATAGACACACACAAGGGAACTTGCAAACTATCGCTAGATTAAAAAATGGACATTCGAGATTCGTCCACGTCACTATAAGTTAAAATTTAACTCCCAGACATCTATTTCTCGATTCAATGGTAGTTTCCAAGTTTCCAATGCATTTATGATTTGCATTACATATTTTCCCGAAGCGCATTATCTGATTTTATCTGCTCTATTTCTCTCAAAATATAAAACATATAATTGGATATTTTGGTTCGTAGTGTACCATCCGATTTATTTTTATATTTTTGGTGGAGAAAGGAGTTAGATTTACTAAGATATTCCCTTTGTCCATTAAAATCAAACCTACTCCATCCGTCCCATAATATAAGGGATTTTTAGTTTTTGTTTATAACGTTTGACCACTCGTTTTATTCAAAAAAATTTTAAAATTATTTTTTTTTACTTACTTTATTATCTACAGTACTTTAAACACAACTTTTCGTTTTTTATATTTGTAAAATAAATTTGAATAAGACGAGTGGTCGAACGTTTTAATAAAAAACTCAAAATCCCTTATATCGTGGGACGGAGGGAGTAGTATTTAATATTGATATATTTTAGTATTATATGTATATAAACAATCCCATTAAAATCGAATCTGGTATCTAATATTGATATATTTTATATGTATCTAAACAATCACATTGCAGTAACTCTTTGGCCCGACAAATATTACAAAATCGACTAATTAACCCATCATCAAAACATAAACATACTACTACTACTAATCCCAAAAAAAAGCTTAATCTGAAGCATCAGCGCTAGCAGCGCTGTCATCAATGGCGGTGAGAGAGCACTGTCCGAGCTCGCCGTCGCCGAACCGCTCACACCCCTCGACGCCGATCTCCGCGAACGCCGCCGCGAGCACCGGCACGACGTTGCGCAGCGCGAGCCTGAACCCCGCCGAGCACGTCCTCTCGCCGCCGCCGCCGTCTCCCCCGTCTCCGGCGACGCGCGTTCCCCGCAGGTACGACTCGCAGGCGGCGAGCACGTGGGCGCCGCGGCGGCGGAAGTGTGCCCCGACGACGCCCTCGAAGCCCCGCGGCGGGCGGCGGAGGAGGTGGAGCGCGCTCCGGAGCGTGAGCAGGCAGGCGTTCTCGGCGTAGGAGGCGGCGTTCCGGCGGCCCCCCGGCGTGCCGGCGTAGGCGTCGTAGCCGGCCTCGTTGTAGTAGGGGTCGGCGGTGAGGACGAGGCCCTGGATGGAGACGAGCACCTGGAGCAGCGTCGACCTCGCCGGCGACCACACCTCGACGCCCTCGCCGTCGAACGTGTTGAGGAGGCTGAGGCAGACGGTGCCCGAGGGGTAGAGGTTGGGGTTCACGCGGAGGCCGAACGAGTGGTAGTACACCTCCGGCGGCGCCGCCGGGTAGGTCGCCGGGAGGTGGAGGTCGAAGAGGAAGAGGCCGTCGTGGTACGGCGAGCCGGCGGCGCCCACCATCGCTGCCCGGAGCAAGTCCATCCGGTCTTCGAACGCGCGCACATATATAGTCCCTGCATTGCATAAATGTACACGAGTGCACGGTTTATGATCTCAGATTATAAGTTGTTTTGAATTTGGTTGAAAAGGTAATTACATTTTCATCTAGAGAAAAATATATAATTAAAAAATATTTAATTATTGATTTAATGAAAACTAATTTGGTGTTGTATATATATATTACTATATTTATCTTTAAATTTGGTTAAAGATGAAGTTGTTTAACTTTGGTTAAAGTAAAAACGATTTACAGTTAGAAATGAATGGAGTATTAGTTATATGGTCTTTACGACGAGATTTTCTATTAAACTTATGAAATTCTTTGACCATGGATGATTAAATGCTTGTAGTTTTAAAAGAGAAGTTTTGAAAAGTATATGGTACATATAGATTCGTCTTAAAAATACTATCATGGTATCAAAAATAGGTTATGTTTAGAATATTTTTTAAGTACTGTCTGATTTGTTTTCGACAAGATTTGATCAACTTTTAAAACTTTTGATCATCAATATTTTTCCAAATTCTTAGCTTAAAACCAAATTTGTCTTAAAACTACTATCATGATATCGTAATTAGGTTATGTTTATAAATTCTTTTGTAGTAATAACAGGTTGATGATTAAAATTATAAATATTTGACTAAACTTAACTTTAACATCAAAATTCAACTAAAATTTATAAAATGGTCAACTAGAAAGTGTACCTGGTAAGTTATCGTTGCCCAATATCTGCCATTCTTTTTGGACTCTCTTTACCCATTTGTTTCCATGAGCAGCACCCTGTTTTTCATGTGCAACGTCCAAATCAAACCAAATATAAATTTACACCAAAACAAAATAAAATTAAAACAAAACAGTAAAACATACTGTGTGGCTGACACTTACAAATAGCCAAAAAAAAAAAGAGAGATCACTTCAATAAAAAAAATGTAATCCAAAGAATTAGTACAAGAATTAATTACCTCTAGCTTGCAATCCAGGAAATGGTGATCAGGCGGGCACTGCACGACGTCGAAGTGCGCGACGCCGAGCGAATCATCCTCCACCTTCTCCTTCCATCCGCCGTCGCTGGCGGAGTCACCGCCATCGCCGTCACCGTCGCCGTCGCCGCCACCTGCGTCGCTGCTGCTTGGCAGAGCAGCAGCATCCGGAGCAGGAGCAGCTGCGTCCTCGCCGGCGACGCCATTGACAGCAACAGCAGCAGGAACAGCAGGAGCAGGCTCGACGTTGACATCGCCACCGGCGGTGGGTCCAGCCGGCGGCGGCGCTTCGGCGTTGCCCGTGGCCGTGGCCGCCGCCGCCGAGATTGACGACGACGATGAGACGGTTACCAGGTAGCTCTTACCTAGGGCCACGAGCTGGGACGCCGCGTCGAACACCTTCCGGACGGCAGCGCTGACACGGACGATCAACGTCGGCGATGGTGCAGGGGCGGCGGCGGCAGGTCCGGCAGTGTTCCCGGCGGCTCCGGCGTTGGCGACATTGTTGTTATTGTTACCGGCGGCAGGTGGTGGTGGTGGTGGTGGAGGTGGAGGAGGAGGTTGCGCTAGTGCTGCGGCCGCGCGGTCGCGTCCCTCCGCCAGCCATGGCCCGACCTCGTGCTCCAGCGCCCAGAAGCTCCGCATGTCGACGCCGCGTACCTCGCTGTGCACCGCCGTTGATGTCTCGCCGTTGCCCCACCGGACTTGGACGTGGCCGTCGCGGACGTCGACGACACGCCCGACCCATGAAAGGTCGGCGGCGGCGGCTTTGGTGCCCTGTGCCGGTGGTGCTGCTCCCTCGCCGGCGGCGTCGGCTGATTCCGGCGGCGGCGGGAGCAGCCGGACGACGACGTCTCCGTAGAACACGTCGTGGCGGGAGTACTTGCGGAGATCGTACGCGCTCGCCACGGTCTCCTCGCCGCCGCCGTCGCCGCCATCGAGCCACGACACGCGCACCGTCTGGTCCTTGGGGTCGACTCTCCTGACGACGCCGACGCGCCTCGCCGCCGCCGTCGTTGCTTCCGCCGCCGCCATGGTGTCGACGACGACGTGCTGGCCCGGGAAGAACTCGTGGTCGTTGAGGATGTCGAACGGCACCAGCTCCAGCGACGGCACGCCGCGCCGCAGCGTGCCGTCCTGCCACAGCACGTCGGCGGTGGTGCGGGTGCCGGAGACGAGCATCACCTTGTCCACGGCGCGCGCCCTGGCGCCCCACCGCGTCGCCCTCAAGTCCCTCTTGTAGAAGAACTTCCTCAGCTGGTTCCTGTACGTGTTCTCCTTCTTCTCCACCGGCGGCGCGGCCGCCGCGGCATCTTGGTTCGTCGTCGCCGCCGCCGGCGACGCTTCCTGTTTGTCATCATCAGTGGGAACACGCGGCTGGCGGCGGCGGCGGCGGTGGCGGGGAGGGGTGGCGATGAAGCAGCGATCGCCGAACGCCCAGGGGCACTCGTCGTCGGAGCAGAAGAGGGTGAGATCGCCGGGGTCCTGGAACGCCGGCGGCGAGGACGCGTTGATGAGGCTCTTGCTGGTGCCGAGCTGCGCCGAGGCGATCCAGTAGACGAGGACGCCGGTCATGGCGACCTTGGCGACGGTGCCCTCGAGGCGGGTGAGCTTCCAGTACCCCCTCAGCCACCGCGCGTCCTTGAAGGCGATCGACGGCGACGCCAGGACGTGGTGGCCGGTGACGCGCTGGCCTGGGTAGAACGCGCCGTTCATCCCGCGGCGGCGGTACGTGTTCGCCGCCACCTTGACCTCGATGACGCGGTCCTGCGCCCGGTCCCCGGTGATCCTGCACGCCGCGCCGTCGTCGAACACCACGTCGACGGCGACGCACACCTCCACGGCGCGGCCGAGCCATTGATCGCCGCCGCCGGAACACACGACGTAGTCGCCGAGGCTGAACTCCGTGACGCGGCGGAGCCCCGACGGCGAGAGCCCGCGCGCCGCGGGCGCCGCCTCGGCGTCGCCGTAGTCGCCGTCGGCGCGGTGCTCGACGAGGTCGACCGCGGTGGACACCGCCGTGACGACGCCGATCTGGCCGGCGGGGTCCGACGCCGACGTGACCTCCATGCCGGGGTGCAGCGAGCTCCGGTCGACGACGACGAGGGCGGCGGCGTCCGTCTTGTCCACGACGGCGCCGTCGACGCACATCACCGTCGTCTTCGGCGCCGTGTACACCACCAGCCCATGGTCGCCGTGCCTCTTCTCGTCGCCTTCCGCCGCCTCGAACCTCACGAGGTCAAGATGGTGAAGCTGCGCCGCCGCCGCCGCCGCCGCCGCCTCGACCCCGGCCATGATCAACTAGCTAGGAGAGTACGATCGATTTGCTATAATTTGACGATTTATAATTCGATTTGATGGCTGCTGATCGAATTGATCTTGTTGGTATCACGAGGGAGACGGGAAAAATCATCGAAATTTATTTATGTGCGGTTGGATTTGTAGTTGGTTCATGTCTCTGACACCGTACGTGTCACGTTCTTGCACGAGAGTATAAGAGTCATTGCTTTCATATGCACGAATTGCGATCAAACTTGTACTGCAGTTCAGAATTTTGGTCGAACTAGAGTTTTATTATTGTGGTTTAAATTTAGTTTGGATCGGGTAAGAACTGTGTTGTTCAACGATTGTTAATGGGCCAAGAAATCCGGCCCGTTAAGGATTGAGGCATACGCGCGGCTGGCGTAATGCTCGATGATCCGGAGTACGGATGGGCCACTATTGGGCCTCGATCGCTTCCCAAACTAGCCCGCTTTTTTAAAGAAAAAAAAACGTAACTGCAGAAATATCGGGTTTTAGGCCCTCTTTTATTCAACTTAGGATTATTATAATCTAGCTTATTAGTTATTAGTAATAAGCTGAAACAAACAATTAGATTATTATAGCAGATTATTATAATCTATAAGCCAGATTATTATAATCTAATAAGCTGCTCTAGCGAAGCTTTTTTCAGATTATTGAGTGGCTAAAGACGCACTACTCCTACATACTTGAGAAAAATTACCCACCTATACCATCAACCGAACAGATAGCTGAGGGCATTATAGACTTTAGCCTTCCAAACCCAATAATCCATACCTCCAATAATCCAGACGAACAAACAACTCATAGCTTATTATATGTCAGTTTATTATAATCCAGCTTATTGTAATCTGGCTTAATAATCTATATTATAATAATCATAAGCTGAAACAAACATGCCTTAGTTAATTCATATTCATATTTGGTGCTTTGTTTTCTTCGTTGCAGTAGAGGAAACTTAATTTAAATTTCCTCTAAAAACCTAATTTAAATTTGAAAATCTAGGGACCTTGTAAAAAGATGGCCGATGTTCTTTGAATTTCATCTGAATCTCAAATTCTTAATGGTACAGGCATATGCAGTTGCAGGTGAGCGTTAGCTGAAGCTCACCGCCGGCGAGGGGTCCCGGTGGCAACCGCCTCCGCCGACGCGTGCAGCGAGGGCGGGAAGAGCCGCCGCGCCACCGTGGACGGCGTCGAGTTCCACGACGCCGGCGACGAGGAGGCGGAGGAGCGGCTTCTCGGAGACGGCGAAGGCGTCGACAGCGACGGTGACAGCGCGGCCGGTGATCTCTCCCTGAGTAGCTTCCCGGTAGAGGCCGAGGCGAACGTCCTCGCCGCCGCTCGCTGCTCCGGCGTGGTCGGCTCCGACGACGATGTCCCCGGCGACCTTCTCGGCAGCGAAGACGATGATGATTTGCGTAGGCTTCTCTCCGGTGTCTGAAATGCATCAGAAAATTCCCAAAAATTATGATGTCTAATTGAAAGATCAGGTAAGGTTCGAGTTAATTCGAAATTTCTAGGTAGAACAATATTCTGTAAGAGAGTTGATTCATTAACCTCCAGCTTTTGTGAAATTCCTTTCAGGATTGCCAGCTTCCTCTCAAATGAGTTGCCAAGCATCTGCATTTGCAAACAGGTTAACCTTTTCCAATTGAGTGCCAGATCCCGATCCCCAGAGGTACGGCATTTTTCAACAAATTTCAATTGAATTTTATTGTTTCAGTTTTGAATTCTCGAAAACCATTTGAAATTTCGTGGTTTTCGATCATTTTTCGTCAACAACGTAAACCCTGCTGGTCACTGCATAGTTCTTGATTCATAAAATGGAAGGAGAAGGACATGTCTGGTTTATCGACAATGATATGATGATCATGTATGTGCACTTACTGTTTGCTTGGAATAATCCCAGTTGAAGAAGCTCGTGAAAAATCTAGGCTCATCCCCTTCAGTGACGATATACATTGTCGTGTCGATTGGCCGTCGTCCGTCCTGATGAATGCCTGCCTGAAGGAACATCTGCAGGTAATGTTGATGAATGAGACTTCCTGTGGAAAATTTATTTTGATAGATCAGAGATCACAAGGAAATTGGAATAATAGAGTACCTTGCCGATATCAAGAGCTTGCTCCTTGGATAAAACACCAGATTGATGTCCAACCCAAATATGGAGTTCTTCGACGCAGTCCAGTATCAATATCTCTTCAGTTACCAGGTCATCCTGAGAGAAGCTGAATACCTCCTTTGCCTGAAAGATAGAAACCGCAACCAAAAAGTTCTCAACCTTCACAACCTTTTATGTGCAAGCTACTAGTAGCTGACTGTATCCTTGTAGAAAATTTTGGGCCTGTTCACTTTGATGCCAAAAAAAACCTTACCAAATTTTGGCATTGCCAAAATTTTGGTAACTATACCAAAATTTCAGTAACTTGCCAAAATTTTGGCATGATTTCTTACATAGTTACCAAAATTTGACAGCAAACTAAATGTAGCTACTTTTTTGGCAACTTTACCAAAATTTGGTAAGATTGAAAATGGCATCAAAGTGAACAGGCCCTTTGTGTTCATCTTGAATCATAAAGGTAGCACTAACCTTGAAGAGACCTGAAAAAAATCATATATTTTGATTAGAAAAGCTTATGTGCATGGAGGCTTTTTCAGGCACGGCAAAATAGCATTTCTATACCTTGTTCGAAATGACAAGTATACAGATGTGGATCTGCAGGCCAATCCTTGACTTGCTTTTCTCTCAAGTATTCTGATCTTCCGCCTAATGCTTCCCAGAAGCGATCAGGTTCAGAACCTTCTCTTACCAACAAGGATTGTTTCAGTGGCTGCCAAAAAATACAAGAAAATTCACAAGGCAATACTTCTCATTTATCAAGGAACATCGCAAAAAAGAATAAGGGGTTTGCTTGCAGTGTTATTCTTACACACAACTTATCCATCATCCTGTCAAGTAAATTGTGGTCACTTGGTGAAGAAAGGCTTCCTAGCCAGGTAAAGAAAGAACCACCAGCTTGCAAAATGTAACAATGCGAAGAATTAAGTGAACTTGCAGCCTGCAATTCAGTTGAGTGATCAAAACACCAGAAAAGCTTACAACAGCAGTTAGTGAGAAAAAATAGAAATGTGATTCAAACAGAGGAGAAAATTGTGTATTTTGCATTTCTTAATACAGTTTTACCAACTCACCAGATCAACCTGAATGGCTCGTATGCAATCATGTTTCAGCCCTTGAACCCGGAATAGAGCAACCCCATTTTTCTGGTACCATCCGTTTGCATCGCTTCTCTGAGAAACGAAGTTCTTATATGCCATACTCCTGCCCCCCTGGAAATGGAAGGAGTCAACAAACTCCAGAATTTTATATCTAGAGATTCCTTTATAATTATTATTCAGCTTCATACACTACATGTAAAAACATTCACAATGTATACCTTGAATATGATCAATGACTTGAATACTAGGAAAAACATTTCTGGTTCTCTGCCCTCGAATACTTGTGCCTGGAATTACATATTGAAAGTTTACAATATCATGGAAATGAAATTTGTGAAGTTTCTGAAGTTGTAGATGAAAGGACTGGAGTAGCTTACCACAACCGCATGCCCTTTTACTGAATCAATCATGCCTGACATTAGTGACGCTGCTGCAACTCTATCTTCCTGTAGTGAAGCACTAACTAAATTAAGAAAAATGAAAGTATAACAGTAACAAACACATTATATGTTTATTAAACAAAGTGAAGCAAAAGCACAAGTACTGGAACAATTTCCAATGGACCTTGTTTTTGACAGACTTTCCTTTCAGCAGGAAATTTGAACTGGTTCTTAGCAAAGAAGTTTTCACAGTTTGGTCACCATTTAACAAATTCCTCGTGGTTTCTGAATGTAGAAATAAGACTAAAATTCTCTAAAAGATGTGTTAGCAAGGAAGTTATCAAAGAGCGCACATTTATGCTGTTCAGTCCAGACCAAGCAAAGAACAAATGATAGTCTTTTCCGTCTTCGATGTAGCTATACCGTATGATATAGCAGTCCCCATTGTATAGTTGTTCCTGCTCCTCAGTGCAAAGCAGGGTTACAGAACCATTGTCCACCAACCAAACCTGTAATATATTTTATTCAGTTTCAAGATACAGCCTCACACATATCAACATAGAGGCAAAGGAGTTTTACCTTCAGACTACCATTACAACTGATGAAGTGACGAGGTTTATCCTCTGGGATTTCTGTGACATCATAGCCCTGATGCTTGAAAATTGCTGCACCATGGTGCTGTATTAGACCAAATTTTCTGAACTCTTAACGAAACCAATTGATACACAAAATAACTAAGGTCCATGCACCTGCCACCTTCTCCCGCCCTGCCTCGTATAACTTTGGCACAGCATTCTTGGGCCAATGCTGAAAATGCATCTTAAATTCAACGGTTTCATGACCTTCTGTCAATATAACTGAACGTGCATTCGATTGCCTTCCTTCACAACGCACATAATCCTAAAAATAGTAGAAGTTGGTGTCAAACACACTAAAGTGTATTCAAGTATTCACACATGTTCTGGCACACTTTGTTTGTTCTGCCTGTAACTTATTTGCAGCTATTCAAATCTGTGGCCATTTTTTTCTGATCTTCTGCTGTTCTGCTACGGATATCATGAGGCAAACTAGGATGGTTGTTTATCTAGTTACTCTAGAAATACAACTACATGATTATATGAACATTGTATAATAATGAAAAGAAACATAATCATATTCCATCTTACTTCTAGGGCAGTAACTGATGTCCTCCTCTCAGAAACCAGTGTTGTCATACCCATCCATAGGAATACTTCGGTGCCACAGTCCAGAATGTAATTTCTGTCCGAGTTCAGCATTTCTCTTTCTAACAGATTTGTCTCCACAGGAACAAGGTTTCTCTTGTTAATCCTACAGACAGGAAAATGGCTAAGAAACAAATTGCTACGTATTAACTCAGGGCTAATGAAATCTGAATTAAAACTGGGCTTAGTCACCAAAATAGTTTCTTGGATGAGGTAGTCATCAGTTCTGTCATAACCGTGTCTTGTACATCACGGGGAATAGGAGCATAGCCTCCAAATAAGTTCCAGAAATCACCAGCATCAGAGTCACCAACAAGTTTCCCATCCTCTATGGTTGATGATAAGAAGTCCGAAATTTCAGTAACCTTCTAGCGATGCTTATGGAAGAAACAATTGTATATAGTACCGGTACCTATAGTCGCAATCTCACATCTGCCACAATGTCGGTTCTCTTTGAGGTGCTTAACAACATCTAAAGCCTTAGCCCTTGTTTGCATGCTAGAGTTACATCCACTGAAAAGGAAGATCTTTGATTCCGTGTCCACGACAAACACTGCCTTGTGATCTAGGGAGGACCGTGAAAACGGTACCTGAGGTAGCATTAGAATAGCATTGGTTATCTTACATCAGCAAACACCAAAGATGTCGGAAAATTTTGAAATAGAAATTCTTACTTCTGTTACACGGGCTACATGCTCTCCTTCGCACCTAAACATTGTTGTATCCTTTGATTTATCTCCATATATTCTCATGTGCGAAGACAAGCTACCTTGTATGGGGATGATGCATGGTTTGAAGTATGACAAGAACTTGTCGGATTCTTCGCCTTGTGTTTCCCTATATTGGACCGTGTTCGAGCCCAGTGCTACATCCAACTCAATAGCCTTGTCAGAGGCCGTCAGACAATCCTCCTGTGTGGTCACAATGCAGGAGACAGACAAAGTCATAAGCAAAATGTATATCCAAGCAAAACAAGTGTAGCTATAAACAGATCAATTCTGCAGTGGCACACCTCTTTGGCTTCCTCCCCTACCCAGTAGTGCACATTGTGCTGGCGAACTCCGCTTTTAAGCTCAACGGTCTGAAACATCGTAAATCATGTGAATTCGCTTGCGCAAATCAGCAAAATATGACCAATGTTACAGCTGAATCTGACTTTTGAGAAACTTACACTTAGTATGATGTAGGTGTTCCCAGTGTAGAACTTGCCATGCAATGATTTTTCAATTGCAATTAGATTGCTACCCATAATGCACCAAATGTCCAGTCCCCTGGAACCATAGATTATCTTCCTTAATTGACAAACAACATAGGCTACATTTATCCCCAACACTTACAGCACAGAGGTAAAACCAAGAATGGCATCACTAGTTACACAGGACTTTGACCGCCTTGAATTTTACTAAACCCATTCCTACCAAGATTGTAGAGTTCTAAGTAATTGTCTTTGTATTTAAAAAAAAAACCTACCACACGTTCCCTTGTGATAGCAATAAAATAACTCAACAAAGTTCTCCTGTTTTTTACTCCATTCAGATAGAGAAGATGCATTTGTAGATGTTCTTGAGTAGAAATTAATTACCAAGCAAGTACATTTTGATTTTGTAACCAAACACCTTAAAAGCAAAGGAGAGAGGATGAGAATCTTGCGAAGGCATATTCAAACACCAATCCCCCAAGATTCCAGCTTCATCATCCAGATACAGAACAATACAACCAAACGGAATCAAACAAAAAAAGAAGAAACAGCAAAGCTAAAGATCGAGAGAGAAGACGTACGGCTTGTCGCCGACGCCGAGGAATGCATCGTCGACGCCCTTCATGGCCGCCGTCGCCGGCAGCAGCAGAGAGAGAGGAGGTCGCTGCAAAGCTCACCGCCGCAGCACAGGCATAGCTCTGCACTTCACTCACTCGCTCACTGACCAAGATGAGGATGCAGCTGAGGCGAGTTGAGAAGAAATGGAATGAGCACTGAGCAGAGGATGCAGAGAGAGGAGAGAAGAGAGAGAGAGAGAGAGAGGGAGAGAAAGGGAAAGGCGAGCAAGAAGCTGGTGGTGGTAGGAGTAGTAAAAGTTTGGTAGGACAGCAGCAGCAGCAGCAAACCATCACTGCACCCAGGAGGGAGCATTTTCTTCTTTGATTTTCTCGCTCTCCCGCGGGCCGCGGGCTCCACCACCGCCATTACCATACCAACCAGTAGAGAGAGAAAAGACGACGCAGCTGCAGGAGAGAGAAAGAAGAAGAAGAAGAAGAAAAAGGCCATTGCTTTGCGTTGAAGCTGCTGACGTGCGTTGCTTTTTACCCTTTCTCTTTGACCAGCACTCCCTCCTTTTTAGTATTATATTATATAAATCGTTTTATTTTTCTAAACATTTTATTTATCAGTTTTTTTTAAAAAAAATAGTACTAATATTTACAACGTCAAATTAGTTTTATTAAATCTAACATAAATATACTTTGATATTATATATGTTTTGTATTTGAAAATGTTAGTATATTTTTCTATAAACTTAATCAAACTTTAAAATATTAATGAAAAGAAAGTCAAACGATAACGGAGGGAGTAATGTACTGAGGGAGTAATGTATTGCGGTGGTAGTGACAGAGAGGTACTAGAGGTTTTAACGGCGCCAAGGATACTAGAGACCTAGAGTACATGTTTTTGTTTATTTATTTATTGCATGTCATGTACTACTCTGTAATTAAGAAAAAATATTGAAAAATGTGAGTGTATAATGGTATTGTCAACAAAATGTCAATGTGTCATGCTTAATTCATTTAAAACACGCTCCATCCCAAAAGATTGATTGCGGTAGTAATAAAAGATACCATTCTTGTCACTGCAAAAGTTTTTTTTTCCTTTGTGTGTGAGTACTCCTCCCTCCATTTTAGGTTATAAAACGTTTTAACTTTGGTGAAAAGTAAACTACTTTAAGTTTGGCTAATTCTATAGAAAATAATAGTAATAGTTATAATATCAGCATAGTTTTATTAAAATCTATAATTGAATAAATTTTTATAATATAGTTGTCTTGGGTTAAAAATATTATTATATTTTTTTATAGAATTAGTCAAATTTAGAGTAGTTTAACTTTGACCAAAGTTAAAATATTTTATAATCTAAAACGGATGGAGTACATAAATAAGAAAAAAGATCATTGAAAAATGAGAATGTAAAGTGCTGTTTGTTAACAAAATATCAATGCACCATGCTAGACTCATTTAATCCACACATGCTAAATTCCTGTGTACTACTTCCTGACCAAACGATATGGGCCGCACGTAGGCTGCTGTTCCGTTCCGGCCCAATATGTAGGCCGCAGATTTATTCAGGCCAACACAAATGGTCTGAACGTAATCCGCAATCGATATTATTTTAATTTTTAATTTTACTAAAAAAATTACCGTACGTTACAACAGGTGAATACTATTTTAATCATATACGGTTTAGGTAGGGTAAATTTACTCTGGAAATTCTCTTGAATTGTTTCTTTACAAAATCATGAGCTGCAATGCAATTAGGAGTTTGAATTTCGTCTCAAGTTAGCATACGAGTTTTTTTAAAAGATATTTCTTATACAACTCTTTTTGTATTTCCAAAAACAAACAAACATAAAAACTGACTCAAACACGAATATATATTTTCCAAAATCAAACAAAATTAAAAACCGACTCAAACAAGAATGACATATCAAAATATCGATAAAAACATTTTCAATTTTTATAATAGTAGAGATTTGTTAAAATATTTAAAAAACAATTTTTGGTTTTAAAGTTTTACAGATCTAGTACACTCTAACGTGCTCTGGAAAAGCTTTTTTAAACATCTTTGAAAGTATGACATGACACACATTATCCGTTGACGCATGCTAACTGTCATTTTGCAGGCAGCTGAACAGTTCAAACTTCCAAGGAAGAATCTTGCCGGCTACCGCCATTGCCGCCAACGACGACACGAGCAAACCTAGTGCAAGCATCCACTATGAGGTATCACAGGGTGACACCTAGGATGAAGAGCTGCAAAGACATTTTTTTCACAGTGCAAGTACCGCTAGTGGGACCCACAGATACTACTTTACCAAATCCCCTCATCAGAGCAGCATCCTCCCTCCTCACATCACGCCCTCACCTCCTCCAACTCCACCAGCCCTCCCCTTGCCCCTCCGCCGGCGCCGGCTCAACGACAAAAATAATATATTATAGGAGTGGACTATTATTAATATGCATGGTTCCTGCATCAATGCTTGAACGATGCTTAATTCACATAACTAATTTTTTTTGGCATATATTGCATGCAGAAATAGACGATCCACCGAACTTGCATGTATAGTTTCCTACTTAAAGGGGTAGTTTTAACAAAGAATAATGATATAGAAATAGTAGTTTGAGATGTTGTTTATGTAGAAAAAGAGACTATCCAACATTTAGTTTTGGAATGCCATTATGCAAAGTTTCTATGAAGAGCTTTACAAATTTCTTCTGGTTTATATCCTCCATATAGTATTTCTCATATCATTGGGAATTAGCTCGTGGGTATTGAACCAGAAACTTATTTTTTAGGAGCATCTACTATATATTGGACTCTATAGTTTAATAGAAATGATATGGTTTTTAATAAATCACCGTCTGTATTTTATATGCAGGTTCTTTTTAGGAAAATATTCCGCTCCGGTTATGAACTCAAATATAAAGGTGTGATAATGATATCAAGCTAATAAAAACTGCATGTCGACTACTTGAGCCAATGGTCATACAGCTTTTCACTAACTTTGTTAGAGGTTCACAAATATGATTCAATAATTAAGGGGTCTTTGTTTTGTGTGGGTGATTATTAGCTTGTGTTTCCTTCTGCTTTGTTGGTGTATTTTTAAGACTTGTTTTTTTGCACTAGTTTACTCTAATTTGTATAATAATTGGTTGTAACTCGTTAAGCAAAGGGCAGATTTTATTCTATCATCTAAAAAATGCACCCGCAAGAATCAAGAACCCATCTTGCTCCATCGTTGAAATACATTACTAGATGAGGTGATTAACCGACACTTTGCAAAAAGAAAAAAAGAAAACAGCAAATCAACGCACATAAATCACTCTGATCTCAATGGATCGCACGCTGAGCCTGGGCAACTGCTCTAGCTAGGCGGTGAATCCGCCGCTGCCATAAGCCATCCACCAAGCACATGTTTCATGTTCTTAGCATGTTTCAAAATCAAAAGCGCAGTTTGAAACAAAAAATTGACACCGTTTCCATTTCATCACAAAACTAACATTCAACCTTGTCATCTTGCCAGCCTCTTTAAATCAGATTACACTTTTAGATAAAAAAAATCAGATTATCCTTTGTGATTATATTGTTTTTTAGTATCAGCCATATAAAAACTTTCACTTTTAGAGGGATCTTGAATTTCCACGGCTTCTTAAAAGGATATCTTGTCTGAATTTTCAAGGCTCAATAATTTGACAGTGAAATGCCCCTGTTTATGTTCAGTCAGATCAATTGTCTGACATTCAGTTTTTAATTGTCTCCCGATAGGGTTCTTCTAATTTATTTTTTTTTAGAAAAAAAACTCTCTGCATTGCTTTCTTCATAGCAATATTCTTTGTAAATGTTATATCGATGAGCTTGGGTATTGTTCATTCAAAGGCTTAAGGCCTCTCTCCTCTATCAAATCATCTGCCCAGAAGGCATTTTTCACATTGTCAACTTTCTTTTGTACAAAACTTATAAAAACCAATTTTATTTCCTCAGTTTGTTTTTACTCTGGGAGAGTGTTGTTTTGTATTTCCTTCTGTATTTCCGATTTTTGTTTGTAAGCATTAATTTTTTTTTTTTGCCACAACTCATCCTCATTATCCAAATTCAAATTCCAAATCCACATAACCAGCTGAATTCACACATGGACTCCTAATTAAACAAAATGATAATTCATGCATTAACTCCTAATTAACAAAAATCTGATGCTTGTGCCTAGTTGATCTTAATACTTGATACGCACACGGATTTGGACACCATCCTCGTTGTCTCCTCCGACGACATGTCGCGGCACGACGAACTGGAAGCGCCGCCGGCGATCCGGCACGCCGTCGGCGAGGTCGCTGTAGCCTATGTGGAACACCGACTTCTGGTAGTGGCTGATGCACAGGCCGCCGCCGGCGTCGTCGGCGGGGCGCGAGACGTGCAGCCGGAGCTCGCACTGCATCTCGGCGGCGGGCGCGGCGTGCGGGTGGATGCAGAGCACGGAGATGGCGCGGCCGAGCGGCTCGCGCGTCATGTTCAGCATGATCAGGCGGTGGTCGCCGCCGCCGCGGTGTTCGACGCGGTGGAAGTTGAAGCCGTCGTGGAGGCGGTGCGTCTCGCCGGCCCTGACGTCGGCGACGCACGGCCAGGCGTGCGCGGCGGCGAAGTGGTCGAGGAGCGCGGCGGTGGAGCCGGCGAAGCCGCAGGACTCGCCGGGGCAGCGGCACGGCGCGTGCGGGCACGCGCGGCGGTGCGCGTCGAGGGCGTGGTACGCCGGCGTGGCGCCGCAGCCGTGCGCGGCGTGCGGGCACGCCACGCGGATGGCGTCCACCAGGCGCTCCAGCGCGTGGCAGCGCCGGTACTCGCCGCCGGCGACGGCGGCGCGGCAGACGTGGCACCTCCCCGCCGGCGCCAGCTTGTCGCGGCACGGCGCGCACACGACGTGCCCCACCTCGCACTGGAAGATGGGCGGCCTCAGCGGGAGGCAGCACACGCCGCACTCGAGCGCGTCGGCGTCCTCCACCGTCACGCCGGCGACGGCGACCACCGGGCGCGCCGACGACGCCTGCTCGGAGTGATGGAACGTCTCTACCTCCGCCTCCCCACCATGGACGCCGCCGCCTCTTTCCTCTTCTTCCTCCATATCATCACCATCAGGTGATTGATCAGGCTCGTCTCCGCCATTGTCACCTTCCTCGTCGTGGCCATCACTCTCCTCCATCGCAGCTGCAGCATCATCACCATCACCATCAGCTTCGCCATGGCTTTGTTCATCTTCCTCCTCCACTTCCTCGCCGCCATCGTCGTCTTCCTCGTGGCCATGGCTCTCGATCTCCTCGATTGCGACATAGACGCGACGCTTCTTCCTCGCCATGGTGTCACCTTCGTGATCCAACGCCGCCATGACTCGCCGCCTGGAAGAAGAGGCTATCGATCTCGCCATCCAAGTCAAGAACACACTCGTTTTTCGTAAGCTCGTATATGAGAGATGTATAAATGTGTAATGTAATCAAATCAAATTGAGCATTAGGATTTAGGAGTCGAGCAGGTGTATAAATAGAGATGCATGGCTTGGATCCTAAGCAACCGCGAAGAGATAAAAGTAGGAACTAATCATAGCATACCATAACAAACTCGATCCTATCTAATCTAATCTTAACATCCCCAACTAATCACATCCTACCAATCTTATCTAATCTAACCATATAGGGCATGTGCAATGTTTGTTAATAGTGGTCTCTTAGCATTGCTAATTAGAAATATTTGTTGACATGGACAAGAGAGAAAGAAGAGAGACAAGATATGGGTAACAACGGCTCAACAAGGACTCTTATAGCCTTTATAATATGAAAACACAGTTGCATGTATAGATGGCCATAAGTCTCGAGGCCCGACGGCCCGACCCAAGCACGACATGACACGACTGGTGTTGGGCTCGTGCCAGCCCGGCTCGACAGTTAGGCCGTTCCTAGGCCGATGCCTTAGCACGATGGGCCAGCTTGGCACGACACGATCAAAGGAAAATAGTTGACGGATTCAAAATAGACTTATGTCAGGATTACAGATAAGGCATACCTTCTATCCTACGACTTATGGAATATACCGATAAGGTATACCTTTGCATATACGGATTGTCCCCGTAAATGTCGTGTGGAAACCGTTTAAATTATAGAAAATATCTCTACGAGTCAAGTGATTTCCAAAGTCCTACTCGGAAGAGACAGAGTTTCTATTATATTGTACCAGGTCCGATATCCTCAAAACCTTTCTTGGGGGTCAAGATGATCCACGGTATAAAAGGGACCCCTTGGGAGAGATTCAAGGCATCCAATTCAATCGCCAACATCCCCACCAAAGTTTACGAAGCCGGAGTACGTGGAGCCAACTCGCCGGGAGATCTCGTCAAATCCCTCGACTGCGATCTCGTCGGTATCATCTGTTTCGACTACTCTCTTTGTAATCTGTTCTCGTCATCATTAATCTCATATAAACTGGACTAGAGCTATTACCTGATAAGGGACCTGAACCAGTATGATCCTTGTCTTTTGTGTGCTTAATGTCGTACTACGTAGACCCTCGTTCCAACGTACCCCAATACTCTACTCATCTGGTCAGCGAGTATCACTTGTCGACAACTTAGTTCAGCCATGTAATGCACGGTCCGAAGAGAAGAGGGATACAAAATAGACTTATTCCAACCATATATGACAACCCAAAAAAATGAGGAGGAAAATAGACTTATTCTATGTAGAAGCACAATGGGTTGTAGTGCCTTCGCGCCAGCCCGGCACGGCCCGAGCCTTATTGGGACGTGGATGTAGCTTGTGGGTAGGCACAGCCTGGCCTAGAGTGTAGGTCGGGCTATGCCGGCCCGACTGACCTCGGCTAGGCCCAGTCGTGCCTGGGCCATGCCGGACCGGGCGGCCCATTTGACCATCTATAGTTGTATGGGGTGTAAAAATAGAAAGAATAGTAATAAAAGTAATATATTTTGAGTTAATATTTAGAGTCTTTATGGTCTCTTGGATTATCTAAGAGATTATACTTATCTCTACCATTGAACATGTTCACATTGCCACTAATCAAATCTTACCATAACAATCCATCTATTTAACCATGTATTGTAACATCCAAGCAGTTAGAAAAGCCTATACTTAGACTAGAGCAGAAACCAATAAGAGTACTAAACACTAATAATAACCCTGGTGGCCGATGCCGATGTAGCTGAAATGAAGGACTTGATGGAGAGTCGTGATGGAAGTAACCATGTATAGAATAGCCGCGGTCTATATATATGGGACCACCTATACATTTGTCGACAAATTTTCTACTAAAAATTTGACAGATGTAATTATAGTACAATCGTAGTGTAATTACAATGTAACTTGTATGTAATTACACTGTAACTTGCACGTAACTACAGTGTAACTTGTATGTAAGTTTCACGTAATTTTGAATCGTTAGATCTATTACAAGATTTGTTCTATGGAGGAAGAAAAAAATCACATCACACACATATATGAAAGAATTTGTTCCCACGACCTCTATTTTACTGAAATAACATGTTACCGACAGATTCTTGAAAGTTACATACAAGTTACATTATAGTTACAGTGTAATTACATGCAAGTTACAGTGTAATTACACTACGATTGTACTGTAATTACATCTGACAAATATTAGGGGGAGAAATTTGATGACAAATATCTAGCAAAATCGTAATCTAAGACAGGTTGTGAGACGCGCATGGGATACCATTGCACCATGGACAATGGTGCATGAGGACACGCTAAGGATGAAGACGGTGAAGTGATTGCTATACTCAATAGGGAAGATAACACTGGAGAGTCGAAACTATCAAACCATGGAGGAAAAAATACCACACTAGGTTTTTCGAGCCCCAGAACAACTCGGTACAAACACACGTAGTAGTTTTTCGGACTAAGATTTGTTCATGTTCAATGTAGTATGTGATAATTAGAACATGAACGAATGATATAAACAGAGATCAAACTTAAACAAAAGTGGGAGACCGATCACGGGATCGATTATCAAGAACATCTCCATCAAGCTAGAATGTTGCATATATCATTTCACTTTTAAGGCACCGAGATGATGCATACATAAACACTACTCGGAAACCTTATCCTAAATAACAAAATTTCATCAAAATCACAGCAACATCAAATAATACGCACACGGATTCGGATGCCACCCTCGTCGTCGTCTCCGACGACGCACCTTGGCACGACGAACTTGAAGGTCGTCTTGTGATCGGCGAGGTCGCCGCACCCTAGGGGGAACTCGGACTTCTGGTAGTGGCGGCGGCGCAGCTGGCCACCGTCGACGCCATCGTCGCCGTTGAGCGGGACGAACAGCTCGAGCTCACATTGCATCGTCTTGGCGGCGGCGGCGGCGGCGAGGGGGTGTATGCAGAGCACGGAGATGGCGCGGCCGAGCGCCTCCCGCGTCACGTTCAGCATGACCAGGCGGTGATGGGAGGCGTCGCCGGGGCGGCGGAGATCGACGACGCGGAGGAAGTTGAGGCCGTCGCGGAGGAGGACGCTGACCGCCTCGCTGGCCCAGGCGCATGGCCATCTGTGCGCGGCGGCGAAGTGGTCGACGAGCGCGGCGGTGGAGCCGACGAAGCCGCAGCGCTCGCCGGGGCAGTGGCACGGCGCGTGCGGGCACGCGCGGCGGTGCGCGTCGAGGCCGTGGGGTGGCGCAGACGTGGGCGGCGTGCGGGCACGCGACGCGGATGGCGTCCACCAGGCGCTCCAAGGCGTGGCAGCGCCGGTAGCCTCCGCCGCCGCAGACGTGGCACCTGACCGCCGCCGCCGCCGCCGCCGCCAGCTTGTCGCGGCACGGCGAGCACACGACGTGCCCGTCCTCGCACTGGAAGACGGGAGGCCTCAGCGGGAGGCGGCACACGCCGCACTCGAGCGCGTCGGCGTCGGCGACCGTGACGAACGCTCGTCTCGACGACGACGGCGGCGCCTGCTCCTCGGAGGCAGCCATCTCTGCCTCCCCGACATGCACGCCGGTGCTTTCCTCTTCCTCCTCCTCAACAACAGCAGTTTCACGTTGGCTTTCTTCCTCCTCGCCGCCGCCATTGTCGTCTTCCTCCTCCTCCGACATGGCTCGCCGACTGGGGTGGGAAGAGGACGCCATCGATCTCTGCATTTTTCTCTGCAAGGTTGTTGGTTGCTTCCACTGTTTTCGCTCGGTTAGTTTGGGATCGTGCCGAATTCTCAGAGAAAAGCTGCCGTTTCATGATTTTATCGCACCACCGGGTTTTACAATTTCAAAAGTTCGCTAAATCACCGAAATTTTGGGAATTTCGGTGATTTTTGGCCGAAATCATTTCAAAATTTTAAATCAATTTTAGTAAACTTTGACTAAATTCACACAAAATTAGAAAAAAAAATAAATATGGGCGAGATATGTGCTTGCTGGTTGTTTTGGGGGGAGGGGGATTACCGAAATTTAGGAATTTTCCTAAAATTCGTTCCGGAATTGCAATCCCTACACACCACCAAGCATGTGTTCTTGTCACTTTTGTGTTTGATCGAGGGTTAACTCTGTTTGGCATAACTTTATAGATGTTAGATCTGTTAGATTTAAAGTTTGTAAATCAAATAATGATGGTTTGAACTTTTGTATTTCATCTAAAATTCCAAAAAAATGATTCATTCAAATGTCATCAACACAATCATATTCAAAATTTTTTGAGTCTAATTTTTCTTTTTGACCCTTTTTGAAAACTTATTTCATAAATAGACATCTAGAAATATTATTCTAGTAATGAACCCTTTTCGTGGAGCCAACGTCATTGGTATCATGCAACAACATAACGGCACTAATGGCATTAGCATCGTTCCCCTAGCCAATGTCCCACGTAAATCTGAAACATGGGAATTTAAAATATGTGAGTTTGGATGGCTCACAACAATTTGATGTATTCCGGAGGTAAAAAGAGAGAAGACGAATTGCATTTGATTTCTTAAAGGAAAAATAAAATAAAATGAGGTTTGAGGTCACATATTATTTTTCTATGGAATTGAAGTATAGGAATGCAATCAAAAAATATATATGATATGCTCCAATCTTTTGTTCCAAACATGTGTACGGGCAGATGAGCTCGTGGCTCAGTGGTAAATCCTAGCAGGTGATTAGCCTACCCACCCGCGGTCGATCATGGGATCGACCGGGTGTCACACTAGGGTATTAACCCCTTTTCCCTAGATTAGCCTAGTCTGATCTCAGTGAGGTATAGGGTAGACGTGTGTGTGTTTAATGGTATTGTGTGTTACCCGCACATAGGAGGTTTTAGGTCTTCAAAGTCTATTTAATGCATGTGTGAACGTGCACACGCGTGTGTGTGTGGGTGTTGTGTGTGAAGTGAGTTCATGTGCATTCCTAGTTGTACCCTTAAAAAAATATGTGTATAGAAATTTTTTTTAAGAATTAGAATGAGCATTTCCCATATTGTCAGGGGAGGAGTTGGTAACAG